AAGAATATATTTATTATTTATAGTAATATAATTTTTTAAAAAAAATATTACTGAGATACACAATTTTTCCGAACTAATTTCTGAGATACACATATTTCTTAAATATATTTTCTGAGATACACATATTTTTTCAGATATATTTCTGAGATACACAATTTTTGTCACTAAATTTCTGAGATACACATATTTGTTAATTTTTTTTCTAAGATACACATGTTTTTTAAATACATTTCTGAGATACACATTTTTGGTAATAAAATACTGTGTATATAGCGCAAAACTCTGAGATATACATATTTGTGTATCTCAGAATTAATATGTGTATCTCAGAAATTTTGCGAAAAAAAATGTGTATCTCAGTAAATAGCCGTAAACTATAAATACTAGATACTTTTCTTTTTTTATTTAAAGTTTTAATAATAGAGCTATTTTTAATTAGAACTAAGTTTTTAATTATAGAAGAGGTAAGAAAATAGGCCGTGATCTATATTAACTAGTAAGAAGAATTATAGGAAATAAAATATAGTAATTTAAAAATATCTTACTGTATTTACTATAATTAAGTAGTATATAGCTATCTATTTAAGATATATATTTTAAAAAAGAGAGGTATATCTTAAAAAAAAATTAAAAAATATACTCTTATTTTTACTTATTTTTTTAAAGAATATATTCCTATTTTTTTTTTCTAAAATATACTTCTATCTTACTTATTTTTGCCTTTCTTTTTTCTAAAATATACTAATATTTATTAGATCTTTTTATTATTAAACGGCTTATAAATTATATATACTCTTAATCTACCTACGAAAACTAAAGATATTTAAATTTAACTAAGTCTTTTACTTCTTATAGAGATAAATTTATTATAGATAACCTAGTAATTCTTCTAGTATAAATTTAATTAAATAAGCTAATTTATATAGAAAAGAGGTTCTATATTAAATAGCCTAGAGAGTTTAAGATTGTTTTTCTTTAAATATTTAGGACGACTAAAAAGAAGTAATTTAAAAATTTAGATATACTAAATATATTATAGCCGTTTTTTTAATGAAAAAACTCGAAGAACTACTATAAGGAAAAGAAAAAGGCATTACTAAATTTATAAGAAATTTAGAAATAAAAGAATTCTAGTAAGTTTTTTTTAAGAAAATAATTATTTAGAAATTTTTTTTAAAAAAAGAGCGAAAGTATAAGTATATTCTCTTTTTTTTTTAAAAAAAAAAAAAGAAATAGAAGTATATTTTCTTAAAAAAAAATACTAATATATCTATCTAATAAATAAATATATATTTCTTTCTTAAGATATAGTTTTAGAGGTAGCTATATTAAATTTACGTAAGTATATTTTAATTAATACTATCTATATAAGAGATTAACTAAAAAAAATACGTTTTACTATTTACTAATAGTAATAATACTAGATTCTAATAATAATAATATTCTAACTTATTTTAGAATTGCTATAGGTACTAAAAATAAAAAAAAATTAACTTTAATACCTTTAATTTCTAGAAAAGTCTCTTAGTTCTATTAAAAAGTAAATTTTCTCCTATAGAAATTAACTAGTTATACTAAATTCTAGTAGAATTAATATTGTTTTAAATTAAGAAAAAGGACTAGTTCCTATAGTAGCTTAAATTTATCTAAATACCTAGTAATATTTTTACTAGTAGTATAATACTAAAAAAAATATTACTATTAGTTTTAGTAGTAAAATTACTAGCCTTCTTCGTAATATAAGTATTTTTTTTTAAAAAAAATATATTCTTAAAAAAATTTACATTTTCTATATATATTTTTCTCTAAAAATTAAAGTTTTTTTTAAAGAGATATACTAATAAAAAAAAGCTTTACTATAAAACTATTTAATAAGAATTTAATAAAATTCTTTTAAATATTAAATAAATAAATTTTTTTAGCTATAGACTATATTCGCGAAATTTCTATAAATACTTAGATAAAAATTTACGTACTAAAGAAGTATTCTAGATTTAGCTAATATATATTAAATATCTTAGAATCGGTTAATTCCCTATTCTCTATAGAGAGATCTCTACCTATTCTCTATATAATAAATTAAATTTAGTTATATTATATAGAAAAATAGTAAGATTAAATCTATATAGTATTTTCTATAAATTTAAGATTTACTAATTATACCTAGTAAAAATTTAGTATTAAATTAAATATAGTAAGTCTTTTATTTTTCTTAAAGAATATACTTTTATTTTTACCTTTTTTTAAAAAAGAAAATATACTAACTTACTTAAATAGTTTTAATACTAGATAGTTTCTATCTCAAGTAGAGAATAGTAAATTAGGCTTATTTCTTAATAATATTTATAAGAATTTATAAATATTATTAAAAAAAATATATTTTTATAAAGATTTTATAGAATATAAGCTCTTCTATTAATATATATACGCTCTAGCTACTACTTTAGAATTAGGTTCTAAAGATCTAATTAATTTTAGCTAGAAAATTAGTTCTTATAGGATAATTTATTACCCTAGAGATTTTTTTCTCTAGTACTATTTAATTAGCTAGAATTAGATACGGCTATCTACCGAGATATATATTTTTTTCGCAAAATTTCTAAGATATATATATAGTATTTTATTACTAAAAATATGTATATTAGAAATATATTTAGAAAAATATATATATCTTAGAAATATATATGGAAAAATTGTGTATCTTAGAAATATTTTTTTTTAGAAATAATATTCCTAGAAAAAAAAAATAGAATCTACTCTTAAAAAAAATCGAATATACTCTTAAAAAATTGAATATATTCTTATAAAAAAATATATTCTTAAAAAGCAAACAAACTTCTAAAATTTATTAAAAAAAACTAATAAATATTTATAATAAAAATAAAGAATATTTCTATAAAAAAATTCTTAGCAAACGAATTTATTCTAAATAAAAAATATATATATATTGTGTTCTATTTAGTTATTTTTTTAAGAATATATTTTAATTTTTTTTAGAATTTATTAAGAGTGTATTTCTGTTTTTTTTTTTAAGAATATATTTTCGCTTTTTTAAGAGTATATTTACTTTTTTAAGAATATGTTCGATTTTTTTTAAGAGTATATTCGTTTTTTTAAGGTTATATTCGATTTTTTTTAAGAGTATATTTAAATTTTTTTAGAATATAAAAACTCAATACCTACTAATATAAATTAGAGTAATTTAGTACTTAGATTTAGCTTAAATTCTTAATTTTTTTTTTAATTTTATAACTCTTAAATCCCGCTCCAATCCGTCCAATTTATATTAGGGAAAACTAAGGAAAATTAAATAAAAATAAATAAACTTATATTTAATATAATTTACTACTCTACCCTTACGAAAATATAATAGTTTTATTATAGATTTAGGCTATTTAGAATATAAAATAACTTATAGCTAGCTTTAATTATTAGACTTATCTAATTTTTATATAGTAGAGTTTCGAAAAATTCCTAATAGAGATATATATATTTCTCGAATATATTTCTAAGATATATATATTTTCTTAAATATATTTCTAAAATATATACTTTTTTTTCGCTAATTTTTCAAGATATGTATATTTTTTAATTTTTTTCTAAGATATATATATTTTTATAATTTACTATAATATATTTATTTATAAGCGAAATATATAAAAAAGTATATATCTTAGAGAGACTTTTTTAAATATATATATCTTATATATATCTTAGAAATTATACGATAAAAAAATATATATCTTAGTAAATAGCTATTAAGAGTATATGTAATCTATATACTATTTAATAATAAAATAATCTAATAAATATTAGTATGTTTTCTTAAAAAAAAAAGTAAAAATAAAGTATATTTCTTTAAAAAATAAAATAAAATAGAAGTATATCTTCTTAAATATATATATATATAGAAGTATAATTTCTTAAGAAAAAGCGAAAAAAGAGTATATTTCTTTAAAAAAAAAAAGTTTAAAAGATAGAAATTTTAGTTTTAGTTTAACTAAGATTTATATTCTAGAATTTAAATTATATAATTAAATATATAGCATAATTTAAATTTAGATTCTAGAACTTAGAACTAGACGTTTAATTTTTAGCTTAACTAGAATCTATTTAATTTTTAAAATATATATTTTTATAATATACTATATATAATAGATAATTTTCTTTAAAATATATAAATCTTAGTAAGATCTCTTAAACTAATATATCTTAGAAATAGTATATATATCTTAGAAAATACTTAAGTAAATATATATATATTTATTTCTTAGTAAGTAGCTATTCTAAAATATATTAGCTTTTTATTTTACTTTTTATAATATATTATAAAAGTAGTATATATCTTAATCTATATTAATTTTAGTAATAAATAGCTACTATAGATATATTCTATAATAAGATACTAAATATATTACTAAAAACTATAATTATCTACTTTATAGATAGATTTAGTAATAAATAGCTTTAAGTTAATAAGTTTAATATAACTTACTTTTTTTTTAACTTTAAAGTATATTAATCTTTATTCTTAGATTTATAGCTTTTATACCTAGTATTAAATAAACTATAGCAATAGATGCTAACTATAGTAAAGTTATATACTAATAGTAGTAAATATATCCCTAAGAGAGTTATAGATATTCTAGTTAGCTATTTCTCTTAACCGTCTATTTCGTTTATGCGTCCCTGACGTTATTTAAGTATTCCAAAGGTATTCGCGGTTACATATAGATTTTGGTAGGCAACTAACAAAATCCCTGTTACGGCTTAGATCCAACCATCCCTTGTCTCAACTCGCTTCCCTCTTGTATTTAAAAAAAAACCCCTAGCCAGCCCTAACGGGCCGTCTGTTATAGTTTATAACTGCATATAGACGTAAAACGAATCAATCAATCAATCAATCAATCAATCAATAACAAAATCGCCTGCATATCGCTTAGGGCGATGGGTCAGGGTAAATGAATTCAACTCAACTCAACTCAACTCAATAACAAAATCCCTAATAGATTTATCAAGTACCGCGAAGACCTTTGGAACATCTGAGTGCTCCTAAACCCGCACGAGATATTTATTGCACTGTGGCTATCTCATTTCGCCGCGCAACCTTTGGCGTAAGACTTGCTTGAAATTGACTATAGCTTAGCGCTGGCCTTCTGTTTCTGCTGAGCTTTCTTCAAGATTGGCTCCATCTTTGTGGCCTTCATGACATCGCCCTTGACCTTCAGCTTGCCTGATATGAAGAGCTTTTGCGCGTTCTCCTTCCCAGCGACCAGCTTCGCGAAGTCGTTGTCAGAAAGCAGAAGCGTCACTTGTGGCAACATCCGTCAGCACCCATACTTGAAATTTGATAAATATTACAAAGCCTTGTTTGGGTCTTAGCCGGGTCCACTTACCATCAGCTTTTCCGCCCTCTGGCGCGGTGCCCTTGCCGACAGCACCCGTCTTCTTAAGATCAATGTGCCAGCTCTCAGAATCACCGACATTGTTTTTAATTGTGAAAGCGAAAACAGCACCGCCCTTCTTTACTGCGTCTTTCTTATCGGCGTCGTTGGAAAGAGCTGCAGCAATGTCGTCGAACGCAGCAGACGAAGGAACCTTCTCTGTATCAATAATTGGTCAGTCATGGTGCTTAGGACTAGTAGGTGGAAGAAGGGTGGATAGCTACCGCTCTTGAGAGACATGATACTGGCGGACAAAGACTTGATAAGTTAGATAACTTTGAGGTTCGAGTTCGAATCGAGTGGTAGTGAAAGGCAAAAGGGGCTGCGGAATGTCCAAGGGATTTATGATGGTAACCAGAAGCAGCTGGCAGTGGTCGCGTGTCGGTGGCTTCTTGTCAATGATGTCTCCACGTCGAAACCCGGGGTTTGCATGTGAAAGGGCCGAGCACGCCGAGGTTTCCATCTTACATCGATGTGCCGAAGCACGTGCGCTCATCCGCCTTAAAATAATGTATATTTGTACTTCAACATATGAAATGCATTGCGCGCCCATGCTCGGGCCTGACTACTAACTATTCAAAATCAGAGGGGGTATAAGTACGAAAAGGAAATTCCCAAAGAATGTGCCTAAATGTGAAGGAAATGGAGTGTAAAGACCGTAGCTGGCATCCGTCGTAACCATGCCTTCATCATGCAAAAAAGTCGTACCTCATCTCTCATCAGCGAGAGGGTTTTTCCCGCGCTGTACCGTCGTACCTCCAAAAATCAATCGACAATACCGCCCTAACCGTTTGTCACATGATACATCCGGTGTATGCTAGACCGCCATCTTAACTCCAAGACGCCGTTGCTCCTCGAGCATGCATATTCACAATCAGCGCCATGGGAAGACTGACGTTCGTAGGAATTTTCGCATGTGCTCTTCGTATCCCCACAGCTGCTCCTTGGCTTTGCTAGCAGCCTTACTCGTTTTTTTCTTGGCAAGCCATTTGCTGAGCGACATTTGACCAAGAGTGATCGACTGATCTTCGACGGAGTCCGATATGGATTCATGGTCAAGGCCGACAGGGCTGAGTATGAGCGGTACGTCCATGACTTCCTCGGTACGATTCTTCCATTCCTCGGCCATACGGGTGAGGGGCGCAAGCGCATCGTCCCAGTCTCCACTGCGCAAGGTAATATCCTCGAAGTTGAATTCGCGGAGTTTATGCCGATGTTTGCTTACAAACGCGCTAATCTGTGAAGAATCCGTGATTGAATTCTCAATCTCCATATAACGCAGCTTTAGGAACCGAAGCCCGTGAAGGCCAATCGTCTTACGTATATCGGAATCATCAGTCGTGTCCGGTTGAAGACAAGGTTCAAGGTCCAGCGTGAGTGGCGAAGGTCCTTTTTCATCTCTCCAGCGGAAAAACAAGCTCCTGAGAAAAGGTGTAAAGGTGCGAAGGTAAGAATGGAGCATTCGCAAATGCTCATTGTAAGATGAATCCGAAAAGGAAAAACTATCCATGTGGATGGCTAGAGTCCGAATTTGGGCCCATCGTTTCAAGGATGCGGGCGTTCCCCCAAGGCCCATGATTGGTTGGAGGTGGAGTAATCCAGCCGGATGCATCGAGGAAAAGGTCAAAGTATCAAGATCGTATAGCGGCGACCGCTCAACGGCAATCCGCAGGGAAATGAGGGCATAGTCGACAGTGCTGCGCCGATGGCGCTGGGTGGGATCTTGACCAGAGCAATCAAGCCTGAGATGGGATATGGAGGAGAGTGCCGTTAAAGCCCGGATAAAGGCGGGAATGTTGGTTGCAGCATGGAACAAGGGAGGGTACTGTTGAATCAGCAAATCCGTCATTTCCCAGGAACCGTACTTGGGCTGCTTGACACGTCCGATAAGGGTCGATGGTTTGTGAATTTGAGGCTCGTAGACAAAGCTCCTTTCCTCTCCAGTGGTGTGGTCCACAAGCGGTGGCAGGAAGGTCTCCGAAGTATGCGGCAAATTGAACGTCAGGGTGTGGACATGATGGCCGATCCGCTCTAGAGCCTCCATCCGGGCAGGGCGAGTGAAAGTGCTAGGCCGGAAGGTAATGGTCATGTCTTCGAAGAGGAAGGGCTCGGCACGAGTGCTCAGGTCGTGGCAGACCAAACGGACGGCCGGGAGGTCGGCCTTATCCACTTGGGCCAGGAAAGCATCTCGACAGCTGTCGGACAGCCAGAAGCGTAGAAAGGCTGAGCTTGTCGACATGACAAGATTGCATAGCGAGTTGTTGGAACGCAAGGCTGGAGCCAAGAAGTCAGTCGCCAGAGGCACCGTGGACGGACAAAGCGACTCACATGTGTTGGGCGTCTCGATGGGGCTTGGGATCTCGCCAAACAGCAGCTTGCGGGACGATTGACTGGCATAACTCCCGTGCGAGTCGCTAGAAACCTGACGTTTCAGCGACGGGGGAGACGCGCAAACCATCCGTGGGGCCTTTCATCAGTTACGTCGTGGGGAAGCGGCAAGGGCGGGCGCAATGGGCGGAGGAGTGGTGGATTCAATCGGGCGGAGGGGAAGGAAACCTTAGGGTACATCAGGCACCACTGCGCCGCCACTGCGTTTTTACCAACCTGGCACCGAAGAGGGCGGGGAGGGGAAATGACTCAAGAGTGAGTTACCATGGCAAAAACGGGGGATCGCGACCATAACGCGGTGCGTGGAGGCTGGGTGGAGTTTTGGCCTGGAGATCTCTCCACATGGCAAGGCCGGGCGCACAAGTTTCGAGTGCCGCGCCGCTGAGCCAATCGATTCTACGTTTCAACGGAGCGGTCAGGCTTCGCTACTGCACCGGCGTTTCCTACAGACGCGTCTTAAATCCCGCATGTTTGTACAATATACATAACCAAGTCGCTTGTCACCCGCGTCTCGAATCTCGATATCTCGATGCCTCGATGCCTCGCTGCCTCAATGCCTCAATGCCTCGGAAACTCGGTGACAACTCCGTCCATTTGTGTTCCACGTGACCCGGCCCGACGCCGTCTTCGGCCGTGCTTTTCGCTTTCGGGAAGCTCGTGTCTCTCAGGCATCCCTCCCTCCGTCATGCTTGGTTCAGCGGTCTCGATCGTGCTGGCTCGGCGACAGCCGCCTGATGAAGGATTTCAGGCTCCTACTATGACCGGCCCGGCTTAGCAGAACACGGTGGAAGTAGGTGGCGCCGCATACGTGCACGCAATCCACCACCATTGTAATGAAGACGGAGTCGGCCTGAGGAGGCTGCTGTTGTACCTGGATTGAGGGCGATCTGCTTTGTGTTGGACAGTGCGACGAGTTGCGGGTCGATGATTGCCAGAGGGTTGCCAGAGAGAGCCCCGAACGCGTGCAGAGGCTCGGGGATGCTTCTGGGAACGCTTCTAGCGGCTGATCGGATTCACGATCGGCCGGGGTGACATGTCTGGCCGCTGACGACGCGGTGGCTGTCCTCCACGAATTTCTCGTCTTGCCATGGTCTGCGACGAGGAGGAGGATGAACCGGGGGGCCCACTAGTGCCCGTCGCTGATTAGTCGCCGTTTCTTGAGGAAAGTGGTAAGATGTCCGGGGCGCAGCCATCACCAAACCTTTCCTCAACCCAGCATTCTTGCCGCCACCGCACCTCGATCCTATTGCCAATCCTTCCTGCTACGCCATCCGTTCGTTATACCTCCGCGTTCGTTTTCTCCGCGCCGCTTTCGCTGTCCACCGACCAAATCCATTCGCCAACTCTTTGTTCCCGCTCCACCTCGACCGCCCTCGACTGCCCTCGACTACGCCCTGAACGGCTGCAGTTTCACCCCCAGGAATTCGGCCAAGGCATGGCAGTTTCGTAACCTCAGTTCTTCTCCATCTAGCACCGCATCAAGCGGTCGCAGGGGCCACTCAAGACCACCCCGTTCCCGCTCCTCTCTAGTCCGTGCCGTTGGAGAGACGCATCTCCATGGTGAAAATGCGGATATCGATACGGGAGCAGCTGGGCGCATTGGTGTTATTGACTTCACTTGTCGCCCTTGCTGTTATTTCCGTTGCAACATGGGTCAGTTGTTCCCTGGCTAGCGTGGTGCATCTGTCGCCAATTTACTGAGTTTTTGAGCTTTAGGTGACGAACTACAACTTCGTTTTGGATATCAGGTCAGTCGGCACCCATTGCGATTCGTTATTTTGAATCTAAACTTGGGTAGAGCCTCGCGCTTAAGTCTGGCTGCCTCATTAAAGGCCGCACAGCTTGCTTCCAACCTCTTGCTGATGCAGTCGTCTGCCCGCGCTGCAACTTCGAGGGTTCTTATACAAAAAGCGCTGTATGCATATAACAACGGCAATGAGACCTTCCGAGCAAACACAAACTGGACCCAATCTACCAACGACCTGGCAGCTGCCTTCTCTGGGGGACAGTCAACCAATCTTCTGCTCCAAGCCCAGATTTGGCCCAAGACTTATACTGGCCCAGCCGCCAACGCCTCAGTTATACAAGCTACCGGATCTGAAGTTACCGGCAACATCCCTTTGCCTCTCTGGTATGACAATGGAACCAGGGCGAATTTAGGTGAAGAAGGACTTGGATACCCCCCGAATCTCTATCCAAACATGACGTTCTCCAGTGTTGCACTCAACGATACTTTCAGTGAGGTCGTAGCCAATTACGATGGCACGACCCTCACTGAAACTGGGACACTCCTTCTCGGCCCTTGGGAAATAAATTCGACATTTTCCTTGTTGTCTTTGACCATGCCCGTGATCAACAACACTTCTGCTGTTGACATTCTTGGGTGGATCACTGTAGTCATGGACGCTAAATTGGTCTACGACGTCCTTCAAGGGACTGAAGGACTGGATAACTCTGGAATTACTCTGCTCCTTGGTCCTGGAAACACAACCAATCGTTTTGCTTCTGGGGCACTGTCTACAGGCAGTGATGAATCCATCAGATTTGTGTTGCCGCCAAACAACACCATGGGACGACACTCCAAACACGCGTATGGCCAATCACAGGAACCATTCAGTTGGAGCGATTTTCCCGTTGTGAAACGGGGTTACACTGTCTTCTCAAACGCAACCAACAATGCCGGTAGTGTCATCTCCACTCGGAACGAGGAAAACAAGAAGGTAGCTGCTGGATACGCCAGGCCGAAAACCACTCTTTGTGATTGGCTCGTCCTGGTCGAACAGTCCCATTCTGAAGTGTGGGCACCAATCGACCACCTTCGAAACGTTCTTCTCGCCTGTGTTTTCGGAACTGCTGGAGCTTTGTTGCTTGTGGTCTTTCCTCTTGCACACCTTTCCAGTCGCCCTATCCGCAGGCTGAGGGATGCGACCCGGCGATCGGTATCGCCTACTGGCTATCTACCTGATGATTCGAGTATCGATTCCGGTCTTTATGAAGATGAGCTCGCGGCTGCTATGGCTCGTAAAGAAGGATTTTTCGGGAAGATAACGGGCTGGCGCCGTGGCAGAAGGCGTAGCAATCTTGAACGCAGGGAAGCTGAGAGGCGCCATCAATTTCGCATACCCAGAAAAGTCAAGGATCGGAAGCATCTCATACACGACGAACTGACGGATTTGACAACAACATTCAATGAGATGACGGATGAGCTGATGATGCAGGTGCGGTTTTACGCGCTTAAACTTCGAGAGCTTTTAAACTAATGATTTTGTAGTACGAAAAACTTGAAGAAAGAGTGAGACAGCGTACAGCTGAGCTTGAAGAGGCCATGAAGGCTGCAGAAGCTGCAAACGAAAGCAAAACCCTCTTCATTGCGAACATCTCGCATGAGCTGAAGACACCACTCAACGGTTCGTTAGACACTGCCCACTGTATTTGTATCAGGGCGGTTTTGACAGTACTTAGGTATCCTTGGAATGTGTGCTGTGTGCATGTCTGAAGACGACCCCGTCAAAATCAAACGGTCACTTGGCATAATCTACAAAAGTGGTGATCTACTTTTGAACCTCTTAACCGACCTCCTTACTTTCAGGTATGTAGTAAAGGCTTGTTCTTGTTTGCTGCTACTGACACGCAAGACAGCAAGAACCAAGTGGGTCATCAACAGCTCTCGCTTGATGAGAAAGAATTCAGGTTGCGTGACATCAGCACACAGGTGCTTGCAATCTTCGACAAACAGGCGAAAGAAAGTGGTATCAGCTTGCGTGTCCGTTTCGAAGGACCAAGTGAAATCAGTGCAGATGATCCAGGTGCGGGGATCGAAAAGGGCCTCGCACCTTTCGGTATCGGTCGCGTGAAAGATATGATCTTGTGGGGAGATCAGCATCGGATATTGCAGGTTGTTATTAACCTGGTATCCAACAGCCTAAAGTTCACACCACAAGGAGGATCTGTCGTATGCGTAATCCGGTGTATTGGTGAGGGTACAACTCCTTTTCAGGGAAGTCGTAAAAGTTCCCTACAGTCCCGTCAGAACTCGGGTCGGAATTCCAGAAATCGCAGCAGGATGGACTCCACGTCAAGCTCTGCGATAACTCCAAGGAACACAAATACCGCAAACCAGATCAACGTCCTCCACGAGAAACCATTCACCTATTCGCAAAACTTAGATAATGAGCGCGCGCCTTCACCGCCCCCCGGACGTTTCCTGGCCTTCGAGTTTGAAGTGGAGGACACTGGTCCAGGAATACCGGATCATTTGCAGCAAAGGATATTCGAGCCTTTTGTCCAGGGAGACTTGGGATTGAGCAAGAAATTTGGCGGAACTGGACTTGGTCTTGCCATCTGCCAGCAACTTTCCCAACTGATGAAAGGCTCCATCAGCTTGAGAAGCACGGTTGGACAAGGGAGTGCGTTTACAATGGCAATACCCCTCAGACACATAACGAACCGAGCGGACAGTACTGCTTCGAGTATGATGAATGTTGTCGATGGCAGTCGCAGAAGCAGCTTGTCAATTGACTCCCCATTGACTCCGTCACGGACGGCGGATGACATCGCGGCCACTAGATCTATACATTCGTCTCACAGCAACAACAACAACAACAACAACAGCAACAACGGCCCTGTTTCCTTCGAATCCGACTCTCAACCGCGTTTAGTAGGCCTCAGACAACCGTTCTTCGCATCAACAACACCGCTAGATTCTCCGGCAGCTCAAGGCGCAGCCATGGACCGCATGGCTGCTCAAGCAGCGAATAAGAAGAGTGATAAGATCAAGGTTCTCGTTGCGGAGGACAACAAAGTAAACCAGGAAGTTGTTCTGAGGATGCTCAAACTTGAGGATATTTACGATGTTTCCATTGCCAAAGGTAGGCGCTCTGAAACCCACGAGACATTGATATACTGACTGACCATGACTAGACGGACAAGAGGCCTACGACAAAGTCAAAGAAAGCATGGAGAATCACAATCCGTACAATTTGATCTTCATGGATGTTCAGGTACGCTCGTGCAACTAACCGAAAATACAGATTTTAGTTGACATTTCTCAGATGCCAAACCTCGACGGACTACAGTCTACGCGTCTTATCCGCCAAGCCGGCTACTCCGCTCCTATTGTCGCCTTGACTGCCTATGCAGAGGAGAACAACGTTAAGGTTAGTTTTATTGCACCCCAATAGTTGGTTGGTCACCAGCTAACTGGCCTCATTTAAAAAGGAATGTTACGACTCTGGCATGGATTATTTCCTCTCAAAGCCTATCCGCCGACCGGCCTTGAAACACGTCCTCAAAACTTACTGCCCGACAATTGTTGAGGAGCCTGAGCCTTCGAACAGCTCTCCACCTACGTCCCCTGGGAAAAGCCATAGCCGCGCACCCTCTGCAGCAAAGCCACGCAAGGGATAACACTTGGATTTTTTTTAGACCATGCCTATAGACGCATTGGTTGCTTGCATTTTTCTTCTATTTACCACCCACAGTCAGCAGCGGACACGGCTCAGTCAGAGCCTTACCGCGCCAGTCCTTTGTTTTGTAGTGAGACCCCCTAACCTATTTAATATGGGAGAATCCCGGGGCCAGTTGAGCACTCCCTTGCGAATAATACGTTCTTTATAGTACTTTGGTTAGCAATGCGGCTTGGAGCTTCGGAGTCTGTGGGTAAAAGCAACCGGGGGACATTTTTCACAAAGGCGCTTCAGGGCATCACGTGGAGCTAGGGCTCGCGATTGAGACAGCATAGCACGCAAGCGATTCTGTTACTTATTGTAGTGTACATATTAGCAATTAGTCGGTCGGGTTAGGTCGGCGGAAGCGGAAGCTCGGGGCAGCACAGACGTCATCAGCTCTGGGCAGCGGGCACAGACCTCGACAAGTTCCTCATCAACAACAGCACCTTGTCTGTACTCGTAGCCAACCCTTCTCCACGTACACGTATCGCAACCATCCGTCATCATGTTTGCGAGACAAGTATTCCGCCCCGCCGCGGCATTGAAGAGCGTGAGCATTGTCCGACCTCTTTAGCTTGAGCTCAGCGCTGACATCTACTTCCGCAGCATGTCCGGAGATACGCAACTGAGCCTCCTAAGGGAGGCTCCAATGCTGCCATCTACGCTGGCCTGGCAGCTGCCGCTGGCTTTGGCGGTTACTACTACCTCAACCAAGGCGAGCGTGGCGCCAACAGGGAGCGCTTGGGCGACCAGTCCGCGGCTCAGGGCTCGCCAGCATCCAAGACAGAAGAGCAGAACATCCCTTCCACCACTGGCAAGCCGATGATGGCCTTCACTGGTGGGGATCAGGGGTTCATCTCTTTGAAGCTTGAGAGTGTTGAGCAGCTCAACCACAATACCAAGAAATTCCGCTTCCATCTGCCCGAGGAGGACAGTGTCTCTGGTCTTCACATTGCCTGTGCGTTGGCACAACATACAATTTACGTCTCATTAATGTGTGCTGATATCGCTGTAGCTGCTTTGTTGACTAAGTACAAGGGACCGGAGATGGAGAAGGCTGTCATCCGCCCGTACACCCCTACAAGTGACGAGGGTAAAGCTTACACCAACTACCTTCAACGTCAAAATGCTAATAGAAACTTTGCCAGACACCAGGGGTTATATCGACTTGATTGTAAAGAGATATCCCAACGGACCCATGTCCGAACACCTTCACAACATGAATCCTGGTCAACGTCTGGACTTTAAGGGTCCGATTCCCAAGTACCCGTGGGAATCTAACAAGCACCAACAAATCGCACTGATCGCGGGTGGTACTGGTATCACGCCCATGTACCAGCTCATCCGTGCAATTTTCAAGAACCCTGAGGACAAGACTAAGGTCACCCTCGTCTATGGAAACATTAGCGAGGAAGACATCATCCTGAAGCGTGAGCTTGAGCACCTCGAGAACACCTACCCTCAGCGCTTCCGTGCGTTCTACGTGCTCGACAACCCACCGGAAGGATGGCAGCAAGGTAAAGGGTACGTGACCAAGGAATTGCTCAAGACGGTCCTTCCCGAACCCAAGCAGGGCGACAACTTGAAGATCTTCGTTTGCGGTCCGCCGGGAATGTACAAGGCCATCAGTGGCACAAAGAAGAGCCCGAAGGACCAAGGCGAAATAGATGGTTATCTGAAAGAGCTCGGCTACAGCAAAGAGCAGGTTTACAAGTTCTAGGTACAGAGAAGGGCTTGTTCGCCTGTTTTGAATACCATAGGCGAATTCTCGCGTTCGATCTTCAATTTAGAGCGTAGAGAGCGCAAACCATGCATCTTGTAATCTATCCACTGTTTACTTGACCAACCAAATGTTCTAGATGCAATCTCTTTGATCTTGATTCGCATGAAATTCTGCAGCGTCAGTTCCATAGCCGTGCCGCTTTTCCTTAGCTTTTATTGTCACCTCCACAATAAGCATCAACCGACGGCATGGACTCATGACCGAGCCTTTTCAACAATACTTATGCTTGAATTAGTTCTCAAGAGGCTCGGTGATTGAAGCATTGTTAAAGCATTGCTAAAGTATGCGGATTGTTGGATGATACGTCGGCAATTAGTTATATGATACTGTCTTGACCACTGTGGTTGTTCTTCACGTTGTAGCCAGTCAACCTTGTGTAGTTGGAATGACCGCTCAGGAACCTCCCAGATAATCTAGCATGAAATCATATAGGATACCGGAAGTTCTGCATACAACTAAAAGGATAATATAAAAAAGATCAAGGAAAGCCGTCCACATGGGCACGAGAGCGCCAGCACTATCATCAGACACTTTCTCCACCGTCCTCAAATTGTTTTGCTAGTCCTTTCAAATTTCAGCGGAACAAAATTAGGAAGAGACGAAATCAGCACGGAAGAACCGCCCCCCCCCCAACCATGTACCAGAAGCCGCCCTAATGGAGAACTTCGGCGAGCTCGAATTACATGGGGTCATCGTAGAAGAGGCTGAACCGACTCTATCAACCGATCTTGACCGGTTATCGGCGATCAAGACGGGGCGAAGTAGGAGCACCGCTCTGGGGATGGCATTGGCGGGTGTCAGTGTCCTCTCACGAACTCTGAAAGAGATGAAAAGCAAGCAAAAGCTTTTGTTGTCGTTGGTTCCTCACAGTTGGATCTACCTTAGGCGACTTTGCGTGATAATACTGATTGCTGGGATTGGGTTTGTTGGTCAGTGTAGCTTCGAATATAGTTTTCGAGGTGCTCCAGGAGGCACTGGGGAGTCTGATGTCTCTGAAGTCGCAGAGAGCTTGGCTATTAGTGAGTTCTCTGTTATACATAATGGTACTTATGTCGTACGATGGCCGAAAACGCTACAACTCACTTTTTAGGGCATTTACTTGTTGGATTCGGTGTCGCATTCTTTGCAGAACTCTTCAGTGAAATCCTGGGAAGAAACCCGATGTGCATTTCCACGTTAATACTATATATGGTGTTAGTAGCTGCATCTGGCCCTGCTTATGATATTGGCGCGCAGCTTGCATTCCACTTTTTTGTGGTTTTTCTATGGAGTAGGTTTGGACGTACGCTGTCAAGTTTGACCCTTTATGCCGATATATGCCCGGCAATCCACTAACATGTGCTGGCGGTTCCCTCTCGGATCCGTGGAACCCAATAGAAAGGGTTTACGCTCTCTCTGTATTTGCAAGTTGCGTTCACTGAGCCTGTCGACCACAAGGGTCATTTTACTGACGGCTTGCAGATCCCGTCTTGGTGAGTTAGAGTTAAACTAGATCGACTACTCTTTTTATGTTTGAGCCTTGTTTTGGGGCTTGTGATCTTGTTTAACAAGAGACATACCTATCTATTCTGCTTCGCTGGATAACTGAACATCTTCGTATTATCGGCGACTGGAGATTACATCGGACTAACGACTGAAGAGAACATTACAGGCCATTCTACTGACAGCTAGGGAATCCCTAATCATCCTCGTCGCGCTGTATCTGACGGTTAATATTATATCTTCGGCCAAATACATGGCACAAGCCAGGGTATTACGGTATTATGCTTCCTAGCAATCGTGGTTGGTCTGTTTGGTGCAAGTGCTCTCGTTCCCCTAATCCACAGACGGACCAAGCGAGACCTGAGGAAGTTACAGGAGCAAGGAGGGATCCCTTGTTTCCAGAAGTTCGGATTCGGTTTTTCATGCTGAGAGGCAGCGTCGCTATTTCTGCTTCGCTCTCTTGAATGGGATGAACTAGCCATCCTTCCATCAGTATCTGGTCGCCATTAGCAGCCAGCGTGTTCTTTGGCTATGGTATCCTTTACGTCATTATCTCAACCTAGGTACAGAGTGAACATCCAACCGGTCCAGGCTTTCTCATAGCATCGTTTACGTAAGAATTACTGACAATACCCAATATATTATCGACTCGTACGAAGCCTTCTCGGCATTAGCCTTTGCTTTCATAACCTTGAGCAGAAGCAAGTGTGCTGGAAATGTCAAATAGACGTATCAGCGGCATGAAATTTACTGTCCATATTGGCTTTTAAATGAACGGCGCTTTGTAGAAATGACCGCGAGGCTAGAACCATATCTGGTTAAACTCATACCTGAAGGCTGTCTATGAATACGCCGAGATTGAATAACGGTCCAAGTCAAAGAGCTAAATTTTACCTTGGCGGCCAAAGTATAGATGCCGGGTTTTGTATCGATGGCTTACATCGGGGAAGTTCCGCTTCACTCATTAGGATCCAGTTCATAGCGGAACGCCATGTAAAAGCACACAGTAAAATGGCCTTTAAGCAAGGACTTTATAGCAAAACGAGAATTCGGGGAAAGGCCACTGTTGAGGCGCGTGGCACCGGTATTTATATACAGTCCAGGTAATTGCCAGCAAACCTTTTAGTACTGATCCTCACCGTGCTTGCGGGCCTACGAATAAAGGCATGAGCAAACATCTTGAGCGCTGCTCGGAATTGGACAGACTTACACGCAGAGCATTGGGGCCTCCCAGCTCGGCCTCCAAGCCGTCTGGGTACGTCTTGGGGACGCTGGCCTTGTCCGGGTACATATGGGAAACGACGGCGCTGAAACCAAGGACAGTCGCAACGAAGGTGCCGAAGAGAACGGCGCCCCAGCCAGGGGTAAAATGGGTATACTCCTCGGGACTGAAGATGCCGAGAATGTCGTTGTCCTCGTGGACGGGCTCGCCGTAGTTGCGGCGCTCCTGCTTGTCCCACCAGTCGCCGTAAGGGTCACGGAACTGGCGCTTGACGCGGGGAGGGTTAATGTAGCCCCCGTTCTATCAGACGGCACGAATTAGCGTCGCGGCAGGGAGCCAAGGCGATGACTGACCATGTCGGGGTCCTCAACGTCGGCCTGGGAAAGGCATCGGATCTGGGTGCGGACGGGGCGCGCGGCGGGCTGCAGGGCGCGGGCGGCGAGGGGACGGGCGGCGGCGGTAATTCTCCGCGAGAGCATCTGGGGAGGGTCAGAGAGGGGGGGCCTTGGGTTGTCGGCGGGGCTTACGGTGGAGGGCGAATGGACAATGGCGGGTGGATATAGTAGCTAGGTAGAGGCAGTCAACGGGCAGTCGCAGGTCGACGTAGATGTAGGACGGGCCGACAGAGAGGCCGAACGCGCGCGACGCATGGAACGCAACGCAACGGCAACGCAACGGCCGTCGGCGGCGAACACCATCTGCACATCTTTTTGCTCCCCCATCACCGTCCATCCCTGTTCGCTTCCGGCCCTGCTCTCGCCTGAGCGACTCTCCCATGTGCAGAGGGCGCTGCCCGTGACACACAACCCGCGGAACGTCCTTGCTATGCAAAACACGAAACTTCGCGAGAGCCATGACAACCATCGCGATGGCCACGACGCGCTCGACCTAACTCCCCAGCCGGCCAGCGCCTGCACCAACTCCATCTCTCGCCCCGCCCAGCATGACGCCACGCCCCCGACCAAGCGTCGTAAACTCGACGACTCGGACAGGCCCTCGAGACCCCCGTCACCGCCCTGGAAAAAGGTCGCCGCTGATGGGCCCACGTCATTCATTGTCGACGGCAGGAGAAAGTCGGGACGCACGAATGCCCTTCCCGTTGAGCGCGATTCTAGCACCGACAAGCGGAGGACTACGCGCCATGCTGCCTCGACCAACGGCCACAAGGCCACCAAGGCCCACTCTCTCAAATCGACTGCCAGCCCCGCCGTCCAGTCACCCTCGCGTAGCGTCCAGGCAAAATACAAGAGAGCCTCAGGCTCAGCGCAGGAACTCGAGAAGCCGAAAGCAAATGGCACGACGCGAAAGTTTCGCCACGAGCCTGCATCGACTCCAAACGGCTCGGCCACGCGAAAATCCGGTCGCATAAATGATTTTGCTAAAGCACAGGCTAACAATATTCCGAATGGACACCAGACGACGGTGCAATCGAGCCCAACCTCGGCTGCCCGTACGCCACGACTCAAGCTCAAGCTAGGCCCGTTACAACTTCCGTTTCTTCATCCACTCAATGCCGAACCGCCCCGGAAACACTCCTCTTTTGCCGAGTGGCTAGAACAAGATGATCCACTTGCGGGAGAGGATTTCCGGAAAATAACGGCAGAGGAAGCACGAGATGAAGCGCGATTAAGGCTGAGGATATTGGACGCCGCGCAATCAGGCGGAGTTTTGAGTGAGGGTCAATGCTCAAAATATGCGGCTGATGCAGAAGAAGAGCCTCCGCCGCGTTACGGACCGTGGAATCATATTGCTGCCCATGCGGCTAATTTTCGAAAGTTACTCATGGCGGAGCGCAGAAACCATGTCATAACAGCCCGCCGATTAGCGTTCGAGTGCATGGAAGCGTGGAATTCACGGCAAGGAGCAAAACTGGCAAAACTGGAAGCCGAAAGACCCAAGACAAAGGAGGAGATTGAGGCTCAAGAAAAAGACTATGCGGAAAAGCGTTACAAGCAGTTGGTCAAGGATATACAGCAGCAATGGTTGCTGGTTAGGGCAGAAGTCGACAAGCGGAGGCAGGAGCGCTGGCAACAAGAGCAGGAGAAACTCGGCAAGCAGACCATGAAATCCTTGTTGGATCAGTCAACGCACCTGCTTAAGGAACGAAGGAACAGAGCAGACTCAATCTACAGCAGTGATATGGGCGAGGACTCCGAGTCATACCTGGAGGGTGATGATGGTCAGGAAGATGAAGGCGAAGACGGGGAAAGCCGCATAGACAGCACACGCCCTGGTTCTAGCCATGACGTCATGGACGACGAGTCTGGATCTGGATCCGTATCTGGCCCTGACTCGGAAAACATGTCATCTGAAGAGAGCGAGGAGGAAGAGACCGTTCACGATGAAGATGAGGATGCCAATTTGACCCAAGACCAGCTCAGGGAAAAATATGCGAATCTTCGACCATCAGAGTTTGGTTTGTCTGAAGAAGAGTACGAGGATGATGGGGGCGGGGGGGAGACAGAGGAAGAAGAGCGCGCTGACAACTCTTTGGGGCTTCGGAGCTTGTTGACAAACGGTACTTCTGCTAAGGATGATGATGAAGCTACGGCGTCGACCAACGACCCCCGCACGGATAAGAACGATTTGGGTGGTATCGATCCCTCAAAAGTGACGCTGGAGGAAGTTGACAATATTCTTATGGATGACGAAGATGACGACTCCGACATGAACATGGATTCCGATGATGAGGGCAGTGCAACTGAAGAGGACGATGAAGACGACGAAGAAACTGAAGAAGACGAAAATGATGAGGATGCTTTGGGGACCTGGGGCTTCCTGTCTGGCCAGGAGATCGAAGAATTGAAAAAAAAGGCTGCTCAAGAACTGGAAAGCGAGAAAGCTGCGACAGCCGAAAGTGTTGCAGATATTGGGGACGACAAGGAACATGAAGCAAATGGTCTCGAACTGGTCACGGAGAAAGACGTACCGCTTGCCGAACCCAGCGGGACTGCACTTGATAGAGAGCCCGCTGCAGGTAACTCCGTTGACGGTTTGCTTGAGGCTCAGTCTCCACCGAAGGACGCCAATATGATCGACACTGCGGAAGGCCAGCAACAGAACCCAGAAGACATCTCTCAAGGCAACAATGGAGAACTGATGGCCGACCCTGTGGAATCTCCTACAACAATCAAGACACCAGTTCCTCCATTGCTTCGTGGCAAGCTCCGACCATATCAACATGAAGGGTTGGATTGGCTTGCTGGTCTTTACGATGGCAACACCAACGGAATCCTTGCAGATGAGATGGGTTTGGGCAAGACAATTCAGACCATTGCCCTGCTTGCGCATCTGGCAGTGGAGCGGCAAGTGTGGGGGCCTCATCTTGTTGTGGTGCCAACCAGTGTCATGCTGAACTGGGAAATGGAGTTCAAGAAATTCTGTCCGGGATTTAAAGTTTTGGCGTACTATGGCTCTATTGAGGAGCGGAAACGCAAGCGTCAAGGTTGGATGAATGATGATCTCTGGAATGTGGTTATCACGTCCTATCAACTCATTCTCCATGATGCCGCGGCTTTCAAGAAACGCAGCTGGCACTACCTCATCCTGGACGAGGCTCATAACATCAAGAATTTCCAAACTCAACGTTGGCAGACACTATTGACATTCAAAACCCAAAGGCGGCTTCTGCTTACCGGTACTCCACTTCAAAACAATCTCCAGGAACTCTGGTCTTTATTGTTCTTCCTTATGCCATCTGGAGACGATGGACAAGGCGGGTTTGCAGCCCTCAGTAATTTCACGCACGCCATGGCAAGGCCTACCAATCAGATCCTTGACCAGGGAAGGCAAGAGCTCGATGCCGAGGCACAGGCTACAGTGAAGCAACTACATGAAGTCTTACGTCCCTACCTTTTGAGAAGGCTCAAAGCCGATGTTGAGAAGCAAATGCCGGGAAAGTATGAGCACGTTGTCTACTGCCGTCTTTCCAAAAGACAGAGACAGCTCTATGACGGCTTCATGGGCAGAGCGGATACTAGGCAGACCTTAGCCGGAGGTAACTACATGTCTATCATGAACTGCCTGATGTCGCTTCGAAAGGTTTGCAATCATCCGGACCTCTTCGAGACAAGGCAGATTGTGACCTCGTTCGCGATGCCGAAGTCTGTGGTAGCCGACTACGAAATCAAAGACCTACTGGTGCGCAAGCGCCTGCTCCAAGAAGACCAAAACGAAAAGCTAGATCTAGATTTCTTAAACCTTTGCCTAGCCAAAAAGGAGCACGTTTCTGCCGTCCAAGCAAAACGAATCCAGGCGATTCAAGCTATCCGGCCTCTGGAAGGGTTAATCGAACGGCAGACTCGGCGACTTAAACCTTTAAGCGGCGTGGATGGCTCGTCTCTCAGTTCATTGTCAACTCATCTTGCAGCAACTTCAGATCAATCAACACTGGCACATCTCCAGAACTGCCTCCACATAACGCGTCGGCGAGCGCAAAGGACTCCAGTTTATGGCACCGGCTTCATTGATCGTATCACGCTGAACAATCTCACGAGCCAGTTTATCGCTTCCAGAGGTCCCTGGAAGGGACAGAATCAAGGAGAATGGTACCTCGGTACGCCTTCGGTGTGGCCAAACATCGTTCCAACTTTGGACGAACGTTCCGAAGCTTTGGCAACAACCGTACAAAAGTTTGGCTTCGTCACCCCTGCCGTTGTAGCGAGTGACTTGATCCCCTTGGCACTGGGCGAGGACCGAGCTCAGTTAGTTCGAAGCTCCATTACAAACAGCCGCCCCGATCCTTATCACGAATCTCGTATCCGACTTTCCATCGCTTTTCCGGACAAGAGATTACTTCAGTACGACTGTGGCAAACTTCAAAGGCTTGCTAAACTTTTGCGTGATCTTCAAGCCGGTGGCCATCGTGCGTTGATCTTTACTCAGATGACTAAGGTACTTGATGTCCTGGAGCAGTTTCTCAATATCCATGGTCATCGTTACCTTCGTCTCGACGGCGCGACTAAAATAGAGCAACGACAAGTACTCACGGATCGATTCAACAATGACCCAAGAATCCTGGCATTCATTCTGTCGTCGAGATCTGGCGGGTTAGGAATCAACCTAACAGGTGCTGATACCGTCATCTTCTACGATCTCGACTGGAATCCTGCGATGGACAAGCAATGTCAAGATAGATGTCACAGAATTGGTCAAACGCGCGATGTGCACATCTACAGGTTCGTGTCTGAGTACACGATTGAAGCTAACATCCTGCGCAAGTCAAACCAAAAGAGGCTTCTTGATGATGTTATCATTCAAAAAGGCGACTTCACAACAGACTATTTCAACCGTCTTACCTACAAGGACGTGTTGGACGAAGTACCTGAAGCGGAGGACTCCGAAGCGAACGCAGCCATGGACAAGGTTTTGGGAAACATGGGAATGCCGGATCCATCGGGCTTGGGGAGCGTGCTGGAAGGTGTGGAAGACAAGGAAGATACCGAGGCGGCCAAAGTGGCACAGAAAGAAATCGTCACCGAAGTCCACATCGACGACGCCGACTTCAACGAAGCTAGTTCGCGGCCCAGCGCTACTCCGAGGCCGTCGGCGCCGCCAATTTCGGATGGTGACCGGGATCTGGACGGGGAGGAAGCACCGCATGTAGACGATTTCATGGTCAGGTTAACGGAATGGGAGCTGCGAGATGTACCACTGGGGCCTCCTCCTGACAGGAGGCGACGTAAGAGGAACGGCGGAGAGCATAGGATTCGGCGCAGGCGGTAATATGGCTCATTGACGGGAGAAGTGTACATGCATTTTGGGCGGGCAGGCTGGCTAAAAGGGCATCGGATGGCGTTTTCTCTTAGCGCATGACGCGTAGAGGGTTGGTTCGGCAGTATTTCGATTCGTGGCATTGCATTAACAAAATTTATAATTTGGACGAAGCTGAAAAGCTTCTTAAAAGTCGGAAGGAGCCCACGGCCAAGATATATTCAGCCCGTCTTGGCGCCACCTGACGACGCCACCGACCAGACCTCGCCGGTGCCGATGTCCTGTTTCTGCCCGCCCAGACAGAAGACCTCCTACCATTATCATTGGGACAACTTCACCTTTGTGCGCTCTCGGGACACGATCAACTTGGCCCCGCAACAACCGACAGCACTATGCCGCAAGAGAAATATCAACCACCGCCGGGCCCTCCCCCGGGCTGGCGCGGACCGCAAGAGGAACAACACGCTCCCCCACCAGGACCATCGGCAACCCAGCATGCCACCTATCCAAGCTATGCCCCTCCGCCCGGCCCTCCCCCATCATATGGCCAAAACGCGAAGCAAAGCGTGCCTTCCGAGAACCCACCGCCCTACCACGACTGGACCGTGATTCCAGACACGGCGCTGCTACCACCGCCGCCCTCGCTGAACTATGATGTGTCGCCGACGGCCAATGCGTCGGCCGACGACGGCGAGCGCGCCTTTGAGTGGTGCAATGCGAATCCGCTCTGGCGGCCGCACACGCTGACGGCGGGGCAGCGGACCGCGGTCGCGGGCGGGCAGGTCACGCTCGTGCAGCCTGGGTGCTACACGGGCGAGCTGCTGCCGCACTCGTCGGCGGGCCGCTACAAGGGACGTACGCATTCGCGCTGCCGCGATAGCTGTCTGCTCACTGGGCTGCCACTGTACTCGGCGACGGCCGACTCGCCGCTCGCGACGGGCGGCCGCCCCAAGACCATCTACTTTGAGCTGCGCGTGCTCGGCGTTGGCGGCATCAACGCTAGCAAGAGGTCCCGCTCGCTCGAAGAGGCCGACGCCGGCATCGCCCTCGGCTTCGTCGCCCCGCCGTACCCGCCGTGGCGCTTGCCTGGGTGGCAGCGCGGCTCGCTAGGCGTGCACGGCGACGACGGCCGCCGCTACGTCAACGACACGTTTGGCGGCGTCGACTTCACCACTGCTTTTCAGCCGGGCGAGACGGTTGGCTTGGGCATGCGGTTCGCGGCGCCCCGGAACCCGCCGGCGTATGGGCAGGGGATGCGGGACGGCCCGCCGAGGATGGACATTGACGTTTTCTTCACGCGCGGTGGCAAGAGGGTTGGCGGGTGGGATCTGCACGAGGAATTGGATGAACGCGCCATAGGCGGGGCGATGGGGCTGGAGGGCGAATGTGACCTCTTCGGGGCCGTGGGCGTGTTTGGAGGCGTCGATTTCGAAGTCTTCTTCAACGAGCGGGATTGGCTTTACCGGCCGTCGGCTTGAATGTTAAAGCTCAATTATGTTCATGCCAAGCCTCAGCGGGTGCAGGTGCGGGGGTCCCATGGCATTCAGACAAATTAGTTTTTTTTTCCCCTTGTCAATTGCAAATTTTCATCCTCATTGTTCCTACGGGAATCGATCGTACCTGAGGAGGATGTACGCAAGGTATTTTCCGCCTCTATGGACACAAATGCAATGAAATGACGGAATTCGAAAAACCATGTGTCTTACTTGACGAGCATGGCTTTCTGGGTACAGCAGACGGCAAACACTGACCAATTCGCGGCGCCGTGCGTGCTATCACGGCGTCAATGGACGTGGGCAAGATACCGAGCAGCCTGCGTCATCTATCAATGGAGCACCGAGGCGGTCTGCATGAGGGGAGAAAGAAAAGGGAATGGCCATCAAGGTGCACTTGATAGGCCGAGACTTGCCAGCAGATGCAGCGGACGATCCTGAAGCCCCACGGATGGGGCTGCGATGAGGTGATATCAGACAAACTGGAACGAAACAATGGGAAGGGATTTCTCGTTGAGGCCTTGGTGGTACAGGAAAAAACTGTAATGAGCATTCCGAAATCACAACGGTCGCCGATCATCGGCAAACGAAGATGTAGGCGCCCTGATTGGCGATTTGCTGATAGGGAGTATTGGCGGCCACCTGCCTTGTCATTGCGGCTAAGCACGATTCCTCACCGCTGTGAAAGCTATGATGGAACGTCGAGAGCAGCTTCACTCGATCGAGGGCTTGGAAACCCTATAGGGTCGTCGAGTGACACGGCCAAAAGTGGATCTTGTGCGACAAAAAGCTTCGCTGCCGTAGCCTTGCCTCAAACCTGCGATACTGACCGTTGCCAAGCCGGGAAGGGAAACACCTGCAGGCAACGTACATGCGGCCGCGACATGAAACTTGCAAGCCGCCCTGGTCGTCTGACACTCTGGCATGCTCGCGTCCCAAGCCCATCCCTGCGTGCGTCCGGAGCGGTCTCCCGATGTGAGTGCCGTTGCACTACTGTACGCCTCTCCCGCTGCCGTTTCGCGTCGCTTCTGTTGCCGCTGCAGCTGACAGCTCTATCGTTGCACACAAACGGCCGCACTGCGTTTTTTTTTATGTCGTCTCCATGGCAGCAGGGCTGGTGGCGCACGCGAGATTGAGACCTCATACGAGAAATGTCCAGAAGCTTGGGTAGACAAACTCGTCCTCGAAGATGCGGCGCACTTGCTCCAAGATGAACTTTTCCACCTTGCCCACGTTCTTCAACACCTGCTTCCCGTGCTCTTTCTGGCCTATCTCGCTCTCAATCCGTATCTCTTCAAGAAGACCGGCCGTCTTGCGCCGGGGCTGCATGTCTGCCAGGTTGGCTTCCTCGGCATCTCTTCCGACTAGGGCTTCGGCATCTTCTGGCGCCAGGAAGCAGAAGTGCGCTCGCTTCTTGATGTAAGCCAAGATTGCAACGCCATCGAAGGTCAAGCCAGTGACTGTCAGTTTGAGTGGGATGCCGACGAAGCTAGGCATTGGATAGTCGAGGAGGATTTCGGCAGTCAGCACCATTCTGATATCTCCACAGTAGCGCACGCGAGATACGACTTGTATGTCTTCGGGGCTTGCTTCGCGCATGCGAGGTGTCGCAGCCGGCGAGGGACTGGCGCTGCTGCTGTTGCTGTCATGGCGCTGTGACTTGTAGTTTTCTGCATCTGTGGCGGGATCTTGTTGATGCTGGGATTGAGGCCGCGAATCAAGGTCTGCGGTCGAGGGTGGCGTGTTCGAGCTGATGGAGGCGGCCGAGTGGTTGCGAGGCGTGTGCGGCGGCTCCGTGTGATGAGAGTAGTCATGCCATCCGTTTTGGAACTGTGCGCCAGCGACAGCAGCGAAAGGGGTAGTGGTACCTGACAGGCCGGCGCCGAGTGGCAGGTGGAAATAGCTCATGTTCGAAGTGCCACCAGGAATGCCAGGCGTGGCCGCTCTGGAGAGCGAGTTGCCTAGCTGTTCGCCGAGGGCCAATCCAGTGCGGAGGCCGGTGGTTAGTCTGGAGTCAAGATGAGGCGCAGGGCGTGGGGGGCTCCATGGCGACTCGTTGGTTTTAGGCTCGCGCGGTCTGCGTTCCCGCGAGGCCCTCTCGTGGGGCACAGCGTCCGAGGCCGTGTCATCATCGTCTTCCTCATAGAAGTCGGACAGGGGGTCACAAATGTCCTTGATCTCGACGTCGGGGGCGACAGAGCCAAAGTCAAAGGAATGGACGTGGACGGAGCGGATGAAGCGCGGCAGCGTCACCTGCTGGAACCTGTCGTGGATGAAGGCGCGCACCGTCTCGGCCGACGCAGCACCGTCGGCCCCGCCGGTCAGCGTGTCCCAATGGATGTCGATCGACATTGATGAGGTTTGCGGGAGGGAGAGATGACGTTGTCAGCAGAAGACGTTTCACTTTTTGCCTTTGCCAACGGCCCGGCCCTACGTGGCTCGGGATGATCACTCGCCGCCTAAGTTCGCCCTTCCTCTAACTGTGACTGACCTCGACGTTCGCCTTTTTGTGCCCTCTCCCTCCGGCTAAAGGAGCCGCGGCATGCGATTGGCGACGCCTCCTGCATTATCTCCGTGCCACCGTTGGATGATCAATCGGAGATAATTTGCATTTTCTTCACTTCAACGGCTTTTTTGTGCGACAGACGTGCCGCGCCTGAATTGACGGTACTCTACGCTTTGCGCGGACGGAGACGAGGCAAAGAGGGGTAAAAGGTAAAATAAAAGAAGACAATTTCCAGCGCCGTTCCAAGCTCCCATGATGCCACAGACAAGACGAAACATTACAGCTTTCCAAAAGGGTGCCGGAGCAATAGAGAAAAACAACATGAAAGAAGCACCCTGGTGAACGCCAGCCTTGTGACCGTCTGCGACGGCCTCCTATGCCATTGGAACGCCTGCACTTTTTGTCTCCGTGACGCCATCCCATGCTCGTGTCGTGCCAAAAAGTAATTGGTGGTAGTGTTGGTGTTGGTGTTTGTGGTGAGCAGCGGTCCCCCGCGGAGAGGAAGCAGCCATGTGATGACGATGATGGTGATGGTTAAGGAACGGCCTGCGTTTCTGTTTCTTCTATACTGCATGAGATGCGGAGTGGAGGAGGGTCGCGTGGCTAGCGGTGGAATAAAGAGGTTAGATGGTGAGTTGAAAAGGACGGCGGCGGCGGCGGGCGGGACGCACCTGTCATCCATCGCAGCTGTCGCACTTTTCGTCGTGCTTGACGTGCTTGGTGTTGAGGACACCGCAGGCGGCGCTCCTCGAGGTGGCACACGGCGCCTTCTCCACGACCTGGTGCCCGCAGCCGTAGGTGTGTATTACGCGGGTGCACATGGTTGCTGGTGGAATGGCGAGGGGGTGGGCAGAGCTTTTGGGGAGGCGTGGTTTGGGGAGTCGAGGGCGGGCACGTTGCGACTTATAGAGGCATACTGTCGAGCAGCGCCCGAGTCTCTGGCAAGTTAATAAAATGGCGCCGTTTGCATATCGAGTGCGACGGTCGTGTTGGAACAACGCGGGAAGGCAAGGAATTCATGTACTGGCGACAGGGAAGGAAGCCAATGGCCGACGGATCATGAGAATGCCCGTACATGCCTGCAGCAGCGCGCGACAGGCCGGAGCCGCCGTGGTGACGCCCTGCAGATCGCTCACCGTACCTGCTACTGGCATTCCTGCCGCACCGCACATGGCACCCTGGCGCGGAAGGCCGGGTGGGACTGCGCGGCCCTTACATGGCACCCGTTGCCCAGCTGGCATGTCGCACGCAAATCTTACGCATGTGAAGTAGAGTAAGAAAAAGAGGAGAGAGAGACAGAGAGACCAGACAAGAGAAAGAGAGGGGGGGGGTGGATGGGTGGGCCGTGTGCGACTCTACTCGCGCTGCGTGGCCCGCCTGCGCTGGCCCAAGCCACCCGCGCCGCCCCCTCCATATAATAATGAGGGCCCGCATATCGCTCGCGCCGGCTACGCTCGGCTGCCGCGACGACAAAAGCTGCCAGTCCGGCCGAAATGCGGGGAACTGAGGCCTAGCGCGGGGTAGTTGCTGACTACCCTGATGCCCCTCGACGCTCAAAGCACCCGCTGGACGAACGGAACCCCTTCCGGTGCCCGTTGTGCCGACGACAAACCACCATGGACCGGCTGCTAGCCCGTCTCTACCTGCTCTTGGGGCGCCGGCACGAGAGAGGGCTTATATCTGGCTCCGCCCTTCCCTCTTTCTTACTTTCTGGCTTTCCCTCTATCCCCCAATCCGGCCCGTGGCTCAAGCCCAAGCTAACCCGCCGCGTTTGAAACCCAGCGATTCCTTTGCACCAGCTTACCCACGTGCTCCTTTTCCCACGGCAGATCCCTATTAATCGTAACCTACCACACGACCAACTTTTCCACGTCAGGCCGACCGGCTCCTGCTTCCTTGGTTCCACTCGACCTGCCTTTAAAAGGCCCCGCTGTCCTCCCTCCATCCTACGACCATCTTCCTCATTCCACCGCCAAACCAACAAACAAACACACACAAACAAACGAAAAACATCCATCATGTCTCCCGCGCAGTCCAAGAACACCTCCGGTGCGCACTCCGGTCTCTTCCTCGTCCTGTCTCCCGTGGCCTCGTCCAACTACCCCCTCTCTCCGACATCGAACATCTCCCCCACCAACGAGCTCGGCTCCCCGGTCATGAAGCCCGCGGGCGCCGATGACGTGCAGCGCCACAGGCGGATGAGCAGCGTCAGCAGCGCTAGCTCCAGCAGCAGTGCGACCGGACCCTTCAAGTTCCTGAAGCTGGGACCAGTCTACAACGGAAAGGGCGACGGCACCGACTTTGCCGAGGCCGACGAGTGATTTGGGAACCCCTGCAAAACCAAAGCACCCCGATGGATGCCGCATGAGCGATTACACGATTGTTTAGATTGGAGCAAGAGTCCGGTACACTGCGTTGGACGCGCGGTTTTTTTTTTTTTTTTTTTTTTTTTTTTATCTGCGGGATGCAAGGAGTTAGTCGGACTTTTTGGCGCGCTCTAGGCAGAGTGACGCATGGGCTGGGCTGGCGTACAGCTTTGATAAACCTTTTTTTTTTCTTATCTTCCATAGAGGCGACAGACTGTAGCTCGACCTACGGCGTTCAATAGCATGACCTCCTGAACAAGACCTCCTGAGTCACCACTTTCCTTTATTTTGACGCTGCTCTTGTTTCCGGTTGTCCAGAACGTCCGCTCGCTACGCCATGCCCATACCCCATGTAGGCCCCCCACGCTCCATCGCAGACAGCCGCAGCCCCTTTCGCCTGATTCACCACTCATGCTTGTCCAGGTTGTGTCAGCGTGTGCATGTGCTGCTGCGGGAGGTTAAACGGTTGAGGCTGGCCCGCCTATCCAAGCCCCAAAGGGTCAACACCCTGCCTCACGGCCATCGCCGTGTCTGGACGTTGACTGCGCCACGTTGATGAGCAGGCCGGCGTAGGATCTGGACCGTATGCGAGGATGGAAGCATGGATCTGTCTTCCACGCGAATTATGGCTGGCTCGGCGATGTGCCAAGCTTTGGGAAAGGCATGCAATTGCGGGGAGTCCATGTCGCAGGTCAAAGCAGCTGTCGCAGTTGGGCGGCTACGGCGATGCACGCGAGGTGGTTGTGGCTATCACGGGACGAGGCCAGAGATGCCGGGCATTGGGCAACTATGCACGGCATCGTAGACAACGCTCCATGGCCGGAGGTAGAGTTCTCAAACGGACCGGACTAGGGGTTGCCGTGACGGCGTTTGCTTGACGTTGCGTGTTTTCCCTTTTCCCGCGGCGCGAAAAATGCGAGCCGTTACAAAGCGGTGCGGTCGTCGAACGGTCGGTCGGAAGTGACGGGAACATAAGTTGAGGATTGGAGTTTGTTGTTCCATTGCATGTTGACGGGCGTCGTCATTAGCGAGGGCGATCACCGTCATAGACTCGTAGGACTTTCGCCATGTTTAGTTATTCATCTTCCCACGCGGTTGGACAGGAAACGACTTTTTTTTTTTTGGGCATGACGTCTTGACATCCTTACGGGCGCCACCCGTCCCGCCGTCTGCGGCTTTCCCGACGATGACAGAGAAAGAGAGAGAGTGGCGACTCTCACTGCTAATAGAGAGGTAATAACACTCTGACAGCTGCCGGAGATAGTCAGAAAGCTATGATGCCATAGGTTCGCAACTCCGGAGACACACGCTCCAGCGGCCTTACTACATAGGGCGATTTCGAAGCATTCATGGTCTCGCCATGCTGATTTGTTTCGGGGAAGCAAAGCTGAGTATTTGCAGGTGTCTTATTCGTCAGGTCCCCAGTGAAACTGACGTCGCCGCATTCAGGACAATGATTGCCGAGTTCCTGCCGCGCATTCGTGATCAGATTGGAAGAGAAGGCGGGCACTGCGGGGTGGTCTGGTCGCTATTGCCAAAGAACTACGTCACCATTTGGAGAGAGCCATCACGTACCTGCCAGTCATATATCAATCAATCATGCTGCTACTTTGCTGCTTCAACTCTTCTCCTTGCCTTCCAAGATACCCCAATCCCCATCTCTCCCCACAATGGCTTCTCAAATCCTCTCTTCGGGCCTGGAAAAGGCCCAGCAGCTCGCTGGAGGCGCCAAGGGCGCGAAGCTTGACCAGCTCGACCAGGTCACCCGCGATGTTCACGACTCGAACCATCGCATCACTTCCGATTTTGGTGTCAAGCAGACCAACACGGACGACTGGCTGCGGATTGCTAGCGAGGATAAGACTGGTCCTATGACGCTCGAGGACCCCTTTGCACGTGAGAAGGTTTGTGCGTCCTGCATTCTTCACAATGAAGCGTTCCTGACAATGGCGTTAGATTATGCGTTTCGACCATGAGCGTATTCCCGAGCGTGTGGTCCACGCACGAGGCTCTGCTGCCTTTGGAAAGTTTACTTTGTTTGAGAGCGCCGAGGATGTCACCAACGCTGGCGTGCTCACCGACACCAAGAGGGAAACCCCTGTCTTCCTCAGATTCTCTACCGTTCTTGGAAGCCGTGGAAGTGCAGACACCGTCCGTGACGTGAGAGGTTTCGCCGTCAAGTTCTACACCGAGGAAGGCAACTGGGACATTGTTGGAAACAATATCCCAGTCTTCTTCATCCAGGATGCTATCAAGTTCCCCGACGTTATCCACGCAGGCAAACCCGAGCCTCACAACGAGGTTCCCCAGGCCCAATCGGCTCACAACAACTTCTGGGACTTCCAGTTCATGCATACCGAGGCCACTCACATGTTTATGTGGACCCAGTCGGATCGTGCCATTCCCCGTTCCTATCGTATGATGCAGGGTTTCGGTGTCAACACCTATACCCTCACGAATGCCAAGGGCGAGCGTCATTTCGTCAAATTCCACTTCACTCCTGAGCTCGGCGTCCACTCCTTTGTCTGGGACGAGGCGCTGAAACTTGCTGGCCAGGACCCCGACTTCCACCGTAAGGATTTGATGGAGGCCATCGAAAACGGTGCCTACCCCAAGTGGAAGTTCGGCATTCAAGTCATCCCCGAGTCTGAGGAGCACAACTTCGAGTTTGATATTCTCGATGCCACCAAGGTCTGGCCTGAGGAGCTTGTCCCCATCCGTTACATTGGTGAGCTCGAGCTCAACCGTAACATTGACGAGTTCTTCACCCAGACTGAACAGGTTGCCTTCTGCACATCGCACGTTGTTCCTGGCATTGGTTTCTCCGATGACCCTCTCCTCCAGGGCCGCAACTTCTCCTACTTTGACACCCAGCTCTCCCGTCTTGGTATCAACTGGCAGGAGCTTCCGATCAACAAGCCCGTATGTCCGGTCATGAACCACAACCGCGATGGTGCCATGCGCCATGGCATCACCAAGGGAAATGTCAACTACTGGCCTAACCGCTACGAGACTGTCCCTCCAGCTAAGCCATCGGAGGGCGGCTATGTTGACTACCCCGAGAAGGTTGCTGGTATGAAGGTCCGCATGAGGAGCAGCAAGTTCAGGGAGCACTATAACCAGGCTCAGCTCTTCTACAACTCCCTCTCGGAAATCGAGAAGAGCCACGTTGTTGCCGCTCTCTCCTTTGAGCTTGACCATTGCGAAGACCCCATTGTCTACGAGCGCATGTGTGAGCGTCTGTCTGAGATTGATCTCAGCCTTGCTCAGCAGGTTGCTGAGGCTGTCGGCGGCGAGATTCCTCAAAGTGCGAAGCGTCCGAACCACGGCAAGAAGGCGAAGGGTCTCAGCCAGCTCGAGTACATGCCCAAGGTGCCCACTATCGCCACGCGCCGTGTTGCCATCATCATTGCTGATGGGTACGATCCCGTGGCTTACAACGGCATCAAGGCTGCTTTGACTGCGGCCCAGGCTCTCCCATTCACCCTTGCCCCCCGCCGTACTCCGATCTTTGCCGCCGGCGAGGACCCGAAGACTGCCAAGGGCGTCAAGCCCGACCACCACCTCGAGGGCTTGCGTTCTACCATGTTCGATTCAATTTTCGTGCCTGGTGGCGCCAAGGCTATTGAAACGCTGCGCAAGAACGGCCGTGCTCTGCACTGGGTCCGCGAAGCCTTTGGCCACCTCAAGGCTATTGGTGCCGTGGGCGAGGCCGTATCCTTTGTCAAGGACGCTTGCGCGCTGCCTGGCATTACCTTCTCTGAGAGCGCCGATGTCGTTGAGTCATACGGTGTTGTCACGACCACTCAAATCAAGCCCGAGAGCTTCAAGGAGGCCTTTGAGATGGCCAAGGGCGCCAAGGACTTTGTCGACGCGTACTTCTATGCCATTTCCCAGCACAAGAACTGGGATCGCGAGTTGGCTGGCTTGAGCGCGATGGTTGCGTACTAAGCTGGAGAAATCTGTCGGGAATGATGTGTAGGGGATTTGTGGGAAAAGCTGACAGGGATATCTTCTATCTTACGGGAACATGACTTATGACGATAGTCTATTTAATAATACAAAATGGATTTTCTGAAGGACGAAGACATGGGACGTGTGTACGGTAGGTGGTGGTAGGGAGGAGCATGGGTGTGCATGTAAGGAACCCCTGTGAAAATCACCGAGTGCAGATCTCCAACTTCACCGGAATGCGCTTGGATGATCGCAGAAGCAATAAAGGGCACCCTGCTCTGCAATTTCCATGGTCAATCCCTCTTTCCAATAGACACTAACAGGAGCTTTGGCACCTGTCGCCGAGTCATGTGGCAGCTGCGCGCATCCTTCAGCTGGAATCGGGCTCTCCACATTGAACTCCGTCGACACCAGCAGACAGCAGGCATTTGCATTCCCGAACCATGGCTAGCAGTAGGAGGAGTAGGTAGTATCTAGAGGCAGCCGAAGCATGCAATCTTGGGACTCTGACGATCAAGCGTGACAGACGACGACGGCGACGGACTCTTCGCGACGGGCTTCACGCACGCGACAACAACGGCACTGCCGCTCGGCACCAGGCGGCGCGACGTCCTCGCGCTGCTGCACGACCATGCCGCGCTGATCGGCCTGAACCCCCTGGTGGTTGAGCTGAAGCGAATTGACGGGGAAGCAGCAGCAGCGGAGTCCCCCGCTCCCGCTTCCGCGCCCGCTGCTGATGCGGACGGCAAGGCCGCTGGTGCCGATGCAGGGGCAGCAGCTCCTGACGCGGGCGACGTTGACGCAGCTCCCGCAGCTCCCGCAGCGGACACGCCTCCGTCCGCCGCCGCGACGGCCACGTACAGCGTGACGGACCGACTGGCGCTGCTGCCGTTTGGGCTGTGGGAGGGGCGGGTCTCGTACGCGGCCGCGTTCACGGACACGGCGACGGGCGTGGCGACGGCGGTGCGCGCGCCCATGGGCGTGCTGAGTCAGGCTGAGTGGTTCGTCGAGGGCGACGATGGCGCGCAGTTGGTGCTGAGGGAGACGGCTAGGGTCCGCTGTTCGTGGCTTGTGAGGCCCTTGGTCGAGAGCACCATGCGCAAGAGTCATGAGGAGTTGTGTGGGCGGTTTGTGGAGGAGTTGGGGCGGAGGAGTGGGGGCAGGGAGTGAGGTGGTGGGGGTTTGGGTCTTTGCTGGGAAAGGACTGTCATGAGTATGAATGGGAACGAGTCGCGAGACGAATGTTTATGTGTATTGTTTGGGTTGCGGTTAAAGGGCTTTTTTGACGACAACATCCTTTAGGTTAAATTGACCCTGGCTGTGGTGTTGGTAAACATGTCAAGAAGTGAATGGTGTAAGTAAAAGAAGGTGAAGACAAAACTTACACATACATTTATCAAGTACTTTTGTACTATTTCACATCTGTACTTTTATTCTATCACCTTCATATCGTTATAGCTTCAAGAGTGTTTACTTGTAGAGCCAAAGTAGTATGTACAACTACTCGAAAGTTGACTCGGTAGGTACATCAGGCCAGATTTAAGAGTCTGCTAAGAGACATGCAAAACAGTCAAAAGAAGTAGGTAATTTGTCTAGACCGTCAAAAGGGCGGATTGGCCCTGCTAATAAAGCCTTCATAAATAACATCTGCTTCCCGAATGCAAGAGCTGAACACAATAATATGGACCTACGTATGCTGCAACAGCCATACCGCCATATCCATAAGCCCTCTCGCTCCACTCTCGCCAAACGCCATCGGTGCAAACAAAAAACGCCTCTCCGGCTTACCACTTCACCCTCTAATACCTCACCTTCTTCCCGCTCGGCTTGACCGTATACATCTTCCAGCTGATCTCGACGCCCTGTTTCTTGGCCCACTCAACCGCGTCCGGCGAGACATCAAGGCAGTAGTCGATGTTGAGGCGGCGCAATTGGCCGGGACAGCGTGCGGGGTCCTCGGTGTGCTTGGAGCGTAGACCCGTTATGATGCGCTTGATGCCGACACCCGTGATGCGGCTTCGGGGGAGGGAGAGGACGGTTAGATGCGTGAAGTTTTCTGTTTGAGGATGGAGTTAGCGGCTATGGCTGGAATTGTAGTGCTGGGGAGGTATGTTAGTGAGGACTCTACGTACCGACCAGTTGCTCGGCAAAGGCTTCTTCGGACGTGAATTCTGTCTGGTCCATCTTCAGCTCTTCCACCTGCCACAATCTCCAGTTACTCAATATTGCACCGGCCGAGCCGCTATGTGCCCGGATGCAGGGACTGAGGCTGAACTTCTTCAGCATGGTGAATCTGCTGCGATCCAGCACCATGCCGTGCTCGTCCCAGCAGAGCAGCCGCTCCAAAAGATCGTGGACGCTGAGGCTCTCACTCGAAATCGGCGGGTCAATGTACTCGAAGGACTCGAGCAGCGGTAGCTCTTTCTTGGATATCTCCTCGAGCTCCCTGGGTGGGATGGCGACGTTGCGGCCGGTTAGAGTCAGGTTACGCAGCGACGAGGGAATGCGCGGAAAGAAGGTGTAAGGCGTGTTGACGAGGTGCAGAGTGTCGAGCGAGGTCAGGCTACTAAAGTCGAACTGAGTGAAAGCACCATGCAGTTTCCAGTCATGCAGGGACAGAGAGGACAGACTTGGTGCGCGAAGGCAGAGGTTGTATAGATTTAGGGCCAGACTGCCCATGACTTGTATGCTGCCTGCGCCTAGTTTCAGCCGCCGTAAGTTGGGCAGGTCGACTTTCCACTCCGCGAACGTGCCTCGCGATTCGACGTTGTCAAACTCGGCACACGCCAGCGTAGGCGTGTGCCTGAGTATCTGCGTCACCGCATCCAAGGTAACGACGCTGCTCTTGCCCAGCCTTAACGTCTGCAGCTTGGGGCACAGCTTGAGAGGCTCAAGGATCGAGGCTCCAGAGAGCTCGGATCCAAGAAACTCCAGCGTGTCCAACTCCTTGCAAGCTCTTGTCAGTTTGAGGACCATCGTTTCGTCCCGCAGCCTGTTTATTCTAGCGACGCGTATCTTCATCTTGGAGCGGTACATGCACTTGCGAACAAACTCCGGAAGGACAGGCCTTTGGGCCAACGACAAGTCCAGCTCAGCCCAAAGCCTCGGCTGCGAGTCTAAGAAGACATTCCAGTGTTTGGAAACACGGAGACAATTGACCTGCTGGCGGAAATTAAGGTATTCCATGATCAAGTCGACAAGCTCGGCCGGCAACACGGTGAGAGGATCGATGCTCTTGGGCGGCGAGAGCTGGCGCGTGAGCTTGTCGCGCAAGGCTTGCAGCAGGCGCAAGTTCCCGGCCTTGTCCTCTGCCTTGACGGAGCGCAGGCCGAGATTGTAAATGTCCAGGGCCGTTTGCGCCTTTCCTTCCATCTTCTGCAGGACTCGGGCGGTACGTAGGTAGCCGCGGGCGTCTTGGCGCGCAAAACGAATCATCTGCTTGCCATCTTTGAGGGCCGCTTGGAAGTTTTCAAGCCTCTCATAGACGGCGGCGCGCAGGTCGAGGTAGGTTATGTCTGGGGGAGCCGTCGCGTCGAAGGCCTGTTGACGGCGTCAGTGCAGCTAGTGTCGGTTGAGACGGCGGAGCACCGACTTCAGAGAAGGCGCCGAGGGCCTTTTGGTAGTTTTTCTGCTTGCAGTACTGCCTGCCCAGCTCCTCGAGCTCAGCGATGGACATTGTGCGTGGCATGGCGGCGGTGGAAGCGGCGGACGCGTCGCGCGCGTTGGTGACGGTGATCTGCGGGGAGCTTCACTTCGTAGGGCTGAAGGCGTCGGTCGGTCTTTACCAACCGCGACGCTTCCCACCCATCACCCACTCGCGCCCACCATGAGCAGCATTGACGACCTGTTTAAAAAGCCCGTCCTCCCGAGCAACAAGCGCAAGCTCGAACCCCTCGCCGACCCTGACCAACTCTACAAATCCGCAAAGCTCGCAAATGGCGACGTCAAGGGCAAAGGGCGCGCAACCGTCGAGGACGACGATGAGGACATAGAGGCCGGGCCCGCGCCACCGCCTGACGACGAGGAAGAGGTCGACTTCGGCGATGATGATGAGGAGGGCCGCTTCTTCGGCGGTGGTATGGACGAGAAGACGGCAAGCGCAATGAACTACGTCGACGAAGCCGACGAGCAGCCCTACGTCGCAGAGACCATCGATCTGCCCTGGCTGCGCAAGCTGGCATTGAACTTCGAAAAGCGCATATCCAAGAACGCCGAGCTGCGCGCCAAATTCGAGGACGAGCCGCAGAAGTTCATGGGCTCCGAGGCTGACCTCGACGCCGACATCAAGAGCCTCAGCATCTTGTCCGAACACCCGGAGTTGTACGAGGAATTTGCGAAGCTTGGTTGCGCCGGGAGTCTGGTGGGCTTGCTGGCGCACGAGAACACGGACATTGCCATCGACGCCATCGAGATCATCTCCGAATTGACAGACGAAGACGTTCAAGCGGAGGCGGCACAATGGGATGCTTTGGTCAATGCTATGTTGGAGGCAGATCTACTGAGCCTTTTGGTCTCGAATTTCGAGCGCCTAGATGAGGGCAACGAGGCCGACAGGGGCGGCGTATACCACTCACTTACCATCGTCGAGAACCTGGCCTCCAGCACTTCAACCGCAGATATCTTGGGCAAAGACACGAAGCTCCTAGAATGGTTGTTGGCACGTACGCAGAAAAAGGAATCCCCCGTCACGCAGAACAAACAATACTCGGCCGAGGATCTGGCCATCTTAGTACAGACTTCTATCCCCAACCGTCTCGCCCTCATCTCCCTCAACGGTGTCGATACCATCCTCACCCAGCTCGCTGCCTACCGCAAGCGGGATCCCGCAAAAGACTCCGACGAGGAAGAGTACGTCGAGAACCTGTTCGACGCGCTCACATGCCTCGTCGACACGGCAGCAGGCAAGAACGCCTTTGTCGAAGCCGAAGGCATTGAGCTAGCACTAATCATGCTACGGGACGCCAAATTCTCCAAGCCGCGCGCACTGCGGCTCCTCGACCATGCTCTCAACGTGAACACCAGTTCTAACGTCACCGCAAGCTTAAAGCACGACGAAACCAGCAGCTCGCAGGCGGACTCGTCACGCTCTGGCGCTGCTGCCTCAACCGCCGTCTGCGAGCGGCTCGTCGAAGCCGCAGGCCTCAAAACCGTCTTCAGCCTGTTCATGAAGAAGCAGGACCACGCAAACACGGAACATCTAGTGGGGATACTGGCGGCGCTGCTGCGGTCGCTGCCTGGGGACAGCGCGCCGCGGATACGCACGCTGGCGAAGTTCGTGGAGAGGGACTACGAGAAGATCGGGCAGCTCGTTAAGCTACGACGCGACTACTCGGCGAGGCTGAGGGTCGTGGACGAGCAGATCAAACGGGAGCAGCAGGGCCGGAAACTCGGTGCCGAGGAGCGCGCGCTTATGGAGCTGGATTGGGAGAGCCGCAGGATGGATGGCGGGCTGTTCGTGTTGCAGATTGTGGATGTAGTATTGGCGTGGCTGGTGGCAGAGGACGAGGGCTCCAAGGACCGGATTGTCGAGCTGCTGAAGGAGCGGGATGAGTCGTTAACGGATGTGAGGAAGACGTTGCAGGAGCAGATGAACGGGATTGAGCCGGCTAGCGAAGAAGAGGGCTTGAGCGAGGAGGAGCAGGGCTTGAAGGATATGCTGGCGGCTTTGGTGGGGTTTCTGGAGTAGGCTCAATACCCCCGGTTTTAAAGTTGCGGAAAACTATATAGGTATCTCCTCCTGGCAGCGTTGCCGGTTTGCATTTGATGGGAGTCGGTGCTATGGTTCGCTCAAAGTGGTGGGTTTGTTTTTAGGCTTCGGACAATTTGTCTTCCCCAAATGATGCAAAAATATATGTAGAAATAATCTCCCCCCTACACGTATCTAAACCTATATCTCCGTATCTCTGTAGAGTACTTAGTACCCTCATACCTCCTTGTAGGGTGTTGTATTCTCAAGAATACTACATCGTCTTTATAATGCACTTAGTTGATCTGAAGGTAAATGATATAAAACCAGGTCATACACATAAAAGCTTCGTATCAACAAAGTGAGCAAACAACTACAAAAATTAGGCAACTTGTCCAGAGCCTTCATCAAGTCATAACAGCAACAACAACAACAACAGCAACGGCACAAGCACCAGCCATGGCTCCACAATGACGCATAACCCACAGGACACCACGCCACCCAAGACTGGCGAGCTGCGTGAAGTATCTACCAAGGTGGCGAGGTACGAAAATCGAACTCGTGCACGTCAGTCAGGCACTACAGACGCACAAGTAAACGCTCCCTCAAACGGAATGGCTCACTCGCACAACAGCAGAGCACCTACCTGCATAGCAGCCCCAACGCAAACAGTGCGAGCAGGCAGGCAGGAGCAGGAGCAGCAACAGCAGCAGCAGCAGCAGCACCGTCATCATTGTCCGTTTCACTGGGCATGCGATGCGTGGTCTCACGTGGGGATGGGAGGCAGGTGAGGAGACACATACTGAGGGTATATGTAAGGGGTAAGAGCCGAAGAGCACATGGGCATGCACGCATGCCTGCATGCCTGTGTGCATGTATGTGTGCGTGAGTGACTTTTGCGCAAGTGCGTGTGTGCGTGCGTGTCCTGCATCCAAGACAGATGGAAGTAACAAAGAAGAGGAGCTAGATAGGTAGGTAGGTAGGTAGCGTAGCGTAAGAACGAGTTCCGCCAATCAATCAATCAATCAATCAATCGACTCCCCCATAGAAGAAGAAGAGGAGCAATCAACAGCAATAACAACCACACAAGGAAAAGAACGCCATGCCCATCATTCGCGCAAAGCGGCATTGACAGTAAAGGTACCGTCTCTTCCACCATGCTGTCCGAGAAAAAGCGTACGTGTAGACGAAATCGATATCGAGATCGGGTTCTGGCGCGGGGCTGCATGCTGGTAGAGCACGGGTGCGTGCATGCATCGAGCGCCACCAATTTTTTTCTTTTTCGCAAACAAGCTGATAATGATGATGATGCTGATGATGACTGGCGATGCATGGCACCGTGGGAACCGCTTTGCTCACACACCGCAACACCGTGCACCACCGCTGCCTCGACCTCCTGGCTCAGTCCGTCCACGAAGCAACAAACCCCCTCAATAGAGCAGATCCGAACAATATTCGCGCATCTCTCAGCCGAAGAAGGTGAAAGGGGATTTCGGTATGATTAGAGTTGATTTTGTGAACGAAGAAAATCCAGCAGTAGGTAGAGGAGAAGAATAATGAAAAAAGGAAAAGTAAAAAAAGAAAAAGGCAAGGAAAAAGTTGAAAACGAAGACGTCTCTCGCCTGTACCTGTCCCCTCCCACCAAGACGCACCTACGCGCCACGCACCTATACCGTGAATTTGCAAAGACAAAGCCAGGAAAAGGGAATTTTGGGGGAATATGAAGTGAGCCCGAAAGACCCAGTTACCAGATGCACTACCTAGTCGCGCATTAACCGCCAATTCGCGCAAAAAAAGAAAGAACAAGAAAGCGGTAAGGACCGAGCGACGGCAAGACACAACAAAACAATCCAATGCTTGCGGTATATGCGGGCATGTTGGAGTGCACGTGCGCCTATGAACCATGTCTGTAAGAGAATGCACAAAAGAGGTGTGGTCGGAAGGCTGTGTTGACGAGACCGAGGTGCCGTGAGACGGCGATGCCAGAGACAACGCTGTCCATTACGCACACCAGGATGTTGTCGTGCTTCAAAGGCCAATGAACGTCGAAATGGTCAGAAAGCGTCACTTTGCGGGAGGAAAACTCAAAAGAAAACTTCTAGAAGCCAAAAGGAGAATCGGCGCCGAAAGAGATTCGTGGAAAATGAATCATCAAACCCACGACTCAGATCATATGCCGGCGTCTGCTTCGACACCGTTCTCGCCGAAATTCAAAGCGCTGGCATCGAACGAGAAATTGCCGCCAGCGGCATCGTCGGTGTGCAGAAAAGTGTCGAAGTCGAAGTTCTCGAGAACATCGCCACTCTCTAGAGAGCCAAAATCGAGGCTAAACGCTCCGTTCTGCAGTGTTGTCGTTAGAACGCAGCCATAACTCATAGCATCTGTCAAGGAGATCACTCACGTCATTGCTGCCGAGATCGCCGAAGGGCCCAGACGCGGCGTTAGCATCAATCTGCGGCGCTGCAGCGACTGGCTGGGGTGGGTTGGCCGGCGCCGGGGGCTGTTGCGGAACGTTCGCGGGTTGAGCTGTTGCATGTTGGTTACTAGGAGGCTTTGGTTGCGTAGACATAATTGGCATACTTTGCGTGGGCGTGGGTGGCGGTTCCGATTCCGAGGCGGGGGTGACACCAGCGGTAGATCCCTTCTTGGTGGGTTGCTGCTTTGGCGCATTCTATTGAGCGTCAATCCTAACGCCAGGGTCTCCAGGGGAGATTACTTACCTTCTTCTCCTCAGGCTTGCCCTTCTTCTTCGGGGTGGGCTTATTGCCTTGTGACGGGGTCGGGGGTTGGTTCTGCGGTTGCGCAGGTGATGAGGGCTGGGTGCGTCCGGTCTCGTTGCCAGCTACAGGTGCCGGAGGCGGCGGCATCTGGTTGTTGCGTTGTTGAGGTGTACCCATGGGCATAGGCTGGGCACCCTGTGGCTGCTGCGGCATCATCGGCGGCTGTGCACCCTGCGGCCACATGCCATTGGGAAGCTGGCCGCCATTGCGGCGGATCATTTCCATCTGTTGCGGCGTCATTCCCCCTTGGAAGCCAGGATGTGAGCTGGGCGGCCTCATCATGCCGTTTGCGCCCATCTGCTGGTAGTACTGCGGCGGTATGCCAGGCGGCATCTGGCTTGGGTCAAAGCCGTTGGGCAGTGGCGAGCTCCGGTTTTGAGGCATGGGTCCATCGGGCATGGGCGAGCTTGGGAGGCCTGCCTGGTTCAACTTGGGAGTGCCGCGCTTCATTTGATCATTCGGGTTCGGTGACGGGCCGGCCCGGCTGCCCTGAGGCGACATGGCTGGCGGGAAACCAGGCTGTGCGACTGGGCCAGATCCCGGGTGTTGAGTGATGTTGTCCTGCTCTTGACGTGCCATCAACAGTCTCTTCTTGTTTTGTTGCTCCAACAGCATCAACTGCATCTGGTAATCTTGGAGCGCATGGTTGCCACCGGGTTGCTGACCGGGAGGCGCGTTCTGTATGCGAGCCTGAGGGTTGCCCTGACCGAAGTCTTGGAAGCCATCAGTGCCTTGCTGACCCATGGGCGAGTTCTGCATTCCGGCCGAGTTCATTTCCTTTGCCAATTGTTGGTTATTCAAGGCTACTTTATGCTGCAAGGCAAGATTGTGAGCATATACCTGTATAGACTTTGTCTGCACATTTGGTGTCTGCCCTTGGAATGCATTGAACTGTTGCGCCGTCATGTTGTTGGGGTCAATGCCGTTCGCCATCAGCATCTGGCCTGCTTGGGTCGTTGTCGCCTGCGGCTGCATGCCCTGGGTTCTAGCGCCTGGCGCCATCGGCTGGCCGTTGAAACCCTGGTTGTCGAGGCGAGGGCGCTTATTGGGCGACGGCGCGTTTTCTGCCGAGCCGGGCGACGAGGGACGTTGGTTCATGTCCATCTGAGAACCTTCGCGCTGCATCTGATTTTGCATCATGTGCTGTTGCTGGTTCTTCATCTGCTGCATTTGCTGCGGGTTCCTGCATGCGAAAAGGTATCGATCAGTATTTGCCCCACCTTGGGGATCATCCGGCATCTATCAACGTACAGGCGCTGGTTCTGCATGGCTTTCCGCTGCATCTCCGTCATGTTCATGGGCATCCCATTGGGCGGCATGGCTCCCATCATGTTCCGGTATTGTTGCGCGTTGTTCGTCATCAAGATACGCTGCTGGCTCTCCTGTCGCAATTGGGATTGCTGCTGTAGTCAAGCAGATTAGCCGGATTCAATGCAAACGTCGTCGCCGCCGCATTCCACCTACCCTAGTATGCGCGAGGTACTGAAGTTGCTGCGGACCGGGCTTTGACCTCTGCCGTTGCGCGTTGAAGATGTCCCAGAACTGACTCCACCAATCGAACAGGAACGAGTTCTCGGCCATGTCTCCGGGCACGGCGGCCAGAGGCAGATCGTCGGGACGCTTGTCGAGGTCGTCTTTGGAATCAGTGTCCATCGAATCGTCCACGCCATTGACGTCGCGACGGCCGGGGCTTGGCTTGGCCTGGTTGGTGGTGTTGACCATGAGTTCGGACTTGATCTGTCGAGCAAGGGCCCAGTGGTGGTTCTTCAGGAAGTAGTCGTAAATGTAGGTGTTCAGCATCGTTTGCGGGTCGTTCCCGCGTTGCCCACCCGAGTTCATCAGCGGCGTGCCTCCTACTGGACCGCCGGTGGTATTCATGCTGGCCATATGCGCTTGTTGGTTCATGGTTGCAGTCGTGGTTCGTGCGAGCGGTTAGAATGGCGCCCCAGTGATGCGCGGTGGATGGGCGGCTCCGGGGCAGCTATAGGGCTGACACCGGCACAGCAGAGGATGGCAACGAACCCGCCTCAGATACGCAGAGTGCGGCGCTTCAGCATGAGCGTGCTGTAGAACGATGGCGACGGGGCTGTGCGGACGGAGCCGGAGGGAGACAGATGAGTGAGGGTGAGAGCGGCGGCGAAGAGGGCGCGCGGCTCAGAGCTCCAGGCGAACGGGCGGGATCCGCGACGGTTGCTTGCGTGGTCGACGCGGCAGTGGCGGCGACGCGCAGGCGACAGTTGCGATCGCGGAAATGGAGGCGGGGGCAGGCGGCGGCGAGGTGGTGGAGTTGGAAGAGTTGGTGGTGGTGGTGGAGGAGAGACCCAGGGTGGTGGAAGTATCCTGACCGAATGTCGCGCAATCAAAAGGCGTCGCTAGCGAGGCAGCGACGTGTAACGGCAGACGGCGGGCGTGACAGCCGCAGGGAAGAAAAGATTTGCGAGGCAACGAAGAAGGCCGCACGGCAGCGCAAGTCCAGGATAGGAATTACGGCTGTGGGAAGTTAAGCGGTGCAGCGGGTTGGGGGTGGGCGCGACCGATCATCTGGAGAGTCGGGGATTGGGCGGGCAAGCCCTCACGAACGACCAGACATCACGGGTGCGCTTGGGCCTGACCCAGCCCCCTGAACACGCTCGACGATATTGGCCTCCAAAAGGCCGCTGCGAAATGCCCGAGCCCGTAGGTATCGCTGTCTACTCGCCGCATCTATATGCCTCGGCCGCCATCCCGACGGCTTCCCGCCATCCCGTCACGTGACCCTCCATCCCGTGCCCGCCCTCTGCTACTACTCGTCGTCCGGCGGCAGCTCGTCCTCGATGAACCGCACCAGCGTGATCCTCATCTCCGTCGTGTCGTTCCCCCGCAGCACGTCGCTGATGAAGTGCACCTCCACCTGCATCTGGACCTGTCCCGCCGCCACGTTAGCAGCTGATCCCTCTCCCAAGCCCGCGAATCCCCCCCTCCACTTACCATCTCAAGCGCTCCGCGCAGCACTCCGCACAGCATGTTCGAGTACCACAGCTCGTCTTGCGCCCGCCCATCGTCCGGCAGCTCAACAAAGTCGGCCAGCGGGTTCTCGTCGAAGATGAGGGAGAATTGCTTGTTGTCGCTCGTCCAGTTCGCGATTGTCGGTGTGACATTTAAAAATATCTTGAAACCAACCTGTGTCCGCGTCTCAGCCCTCTTGTTCATGCGGTCGGGGGACCAGGGATAATCTGGAAGATATAGGCCTGCACTGCCCCGCCCATGGCCATGCGGGGCCCAGAAACATATCCATAAAAGCCCAGCATCCGGGGAAAGAGTGCAAGTAGTGCCCTACAAGCCGGAAAGCCCTACCTTTGAAATCATCTCTGCGACTTCACGGAAGTTGGAGCAAGACGTTGTGTTGGACTTGGCGAGGAAGTCCTCGACCAGGCGGAGCCCGATGTTGTAGCCCATTTTGTCCAGCTGTCGGTTGACCTCAATGTAGTCGCTGTCGAAGTCCTTGCAGAGTTGCGCCACGATTGTACCGTAGGTGAGAGTGACGAGTTCGGCGTTGACCTTGTCAACACGGGTCCTTTGGGGCGGGTCAGAGACGGCATGGAGACGACGACTTGAAGGCACTTACTTCCATATCCTAAAGACAATCAGCTATAGCTACAGCATGCGCAGCGGGCTCACAGCTCACTCTTCGCCCAAGCGGGCTGCCTTGGTGGAAGCCATTGCGCTTCGGGGCTCAGAGCAGTAGTCTGGTCACCAGTCGCAGCGGGGGTTTGCGTCGCTAGCACTAGGACATGAACCGTAAGCTCCAGGTAGTGCTGGGCCTTGAGGGAGTGGAAGGCTGGCGGTGGTGGTTGTTGCTTTTAGCTACGCATGCAACTGGGGGTGCATCATCGCCTAAGGCCGGCCATCGGGGGTTGCTGAACGCTAATTTAGCGCGGCTTTGGCGCGGCGATCATCCAGGCCGAAACTTTGAAGCAGCGCGGTGAGATCACACCTCTCCCCGCCCGACACCACGCCTGTCCAGAATGTCCTCCGAGAAGCGGCCAGCTGCCGAGTCCTTCGGCTCCAACCAGCTCGTCAAAAGGAAGCGCTCCGATGGAAACTTGACCAACGATGTAGCTCTTGTCAATGGCTCCGCGCAGAATGGCGCCCTCATCCAGGCCGTATGTCGCGCTCCCCCATTCCTAGCTACCGAGCTAAACCAAATGACAAGGCTGATTATGTAGGTGCCGCGCACGAGTGGGCTGCAGTCGCCCATCATGGAATTGACAGGTATATATACTACAATATCGCCAACCCCCAGATTCAGTCGTGTTGACACTTGACCAGGCCATGGCGGGGAAGTCTTCGCGACGCGTTTTGACCCTACCGGTCAGCACATAGCATCCGGCTCCATGGACCGAAACATACGTACGTCAACCCATTGTAGCGCTAGTTCAAGGGCCGCAACTGAAACTGTATTGCAGTATTGTGGCGGACGTACGGTCAGTGCGAAAACTACGGCATCCTTAGCGGGCATAAGGGTGCTGTCCTGGACCTTCACTGGTCGCGTGATTCCCGAGTCATCTTCTCCGCGTCGGCAGACATGATGCTCGCAAGCTGGGATGTCGAGACCGGCCAGAGGATACGGAGACATTTGGGCCACGAGGAGGTCATCAACTGCATGGATGTCAGCAAGCGAGGAGAGGAAATGCTTGTTAGCGGTTCGGACGATGGCACGGTTGGGGTAAGGGCGCAGCTTCCCCATTAGTCAAGTTGCGTGAAGCACAAGACGCTGACGGCCTGCCTACAGATCTGGGACCCTAGACAAAAAGAGGCGGTGGACTACGTTGAGACCGAATTCCCCATCACGGCAATCGCATTATCGGAAGCGGGCAACGAACTGTATACCGGAGGCATAGACAACGACATCAAAGTGTGGGACATGCGGAAGAAGGCAGTGGCATATTCATTGATGGGGCACACGGACACGATCACATCCCTCCAGGTTTCGCCGGACTCGCAAACACTACTCTCCAACTCGCACGACTCGACGGTTAGGACATGGGACATTCGGCCGTTTGCGCCAACCGACCGACACTTGAAGACATTCGACGGCGCACCAACGGGAATGGAAAAGAACCTGTTGAAGGCAAGCTGGGATCCGAAGGGACAGAAGATTGCGGCGGGGAGCGGAGACCGCACCGCCGTCGTGTGGGACGCAAACACAGGCAAGCTACTGTATAAGCTGCCAGGTCACCGGGGCGCGGTCAATGACGTTCGGTTCTCGCCGCGGGACGAGCCAATCAGTAAGTCTGGACGGGTGTCCTGTGCATGCAAAAAGAAGGTGCTGACGGTTCAACAGTCGTTACTGGTTCGTCGGATAGTCTGGTGATGCTGGGAGAGCTTGGGAAATAAAAGAGGGAATGGATTGACGGTGAGTTGGAGGACCATCACAAAGGGCCGTGTTGAGGTGGGACTTTGGAAGAGGGCACGCGATAGCGGAAGGGCAAAATCACGAGCAGTGATAGAATGGAACCTGCACATACGAGCAACAGCAGGTTGATTTTTCAAATGGAAAGGCTGGAGGTGATTCAAGTTTCGGTGCGGGAGAGGCAGCGATTGGCTGAGAAAGCTCCCCGCGAAGCTTGGCGTGAGGACGGGGCCGAGTTTCAGATGTGGTAGTTTGACCTCCATCCACACCAAGTTTCTGCGTGCGACCGGCCTACTCTTCGGCCATGGCTTCCGGCCGAGTCTTTCCTCCATCTTTGCCTTGAGGTCCAGGCCTGCCATTCGCTGACCGGCTCTCCATCCACCAATCAGCTGTGTATACGGCCCTGATCTGGCATTGGCCCACCTCCAGTCGTTGGCTTGCGTCGCAGCTCTTTGCTGGCACTACTCCCGCACCAGTACCCGCTTTTGCAGAGGCCTGTACTATGGCTTCCCAAAGCGTCCACACACGTGTTTTGGCGAGGTTAGCAGGCCCAGCCATCTTAAGAGCTATAAGCCCGCCCGATACCGTCTTTAATCTCTTCGGACGCGTGTGAGCTTTGGGTTGGGCAGGTAGGCAATACGCAACAAGATCTGTCAGCGCCGGTCGCAACAGTCGCAACCATGCCCTTCCATTCTCTCCACCGTTCCCCTCGTCCGCTGTTTGGGGAAGTCCCGGAACAACAAACAAACATGCAGGCTGGTTCCTCGCATCTTCCTTCTTCGCCCGACCCCAGGCCGCAACGCTTCAGCTTCTTCCGCCGCTCCATCGCCACTTCCGTCGTCGACCCTGCACGTGACCCTGCCGTCCCGTCGCCGTTGAGGGTCCCACGCCGCGCGCATTTTGGGGGTCGATTCCATGAGCACATCATCTCGCCTGCTATTGGATCCGCCCCTGCTCTCGTCTCGCCTGAGCTTCCCCAAGCCTCCTCAGTTGCCGATCCGGAGACGGCCGAGCTTGCCTTTGAGGTCCGACGGAAGCAGAAGCGGAAGCGCCAGCGCCAGCGCCCGCAGGCATGGTCTCGAAAGAAGGCGGATAGATCTGTCTGCTTCGGCGGCATGAAGAATGAGGCAGCCAGACGCAAGGCCGTCCTCTGCTCCATCAGCGGCATGGCCCTTGCTCTGGTGCTAACAGTCTGTAAGTACCAAGCATCCGTCCTAAAACAATCTTTTTATCATTCGTATCCTGACATGGCCGTAATCCAGACCTGGCAGTAGCGCTCACCGTCCCGGACGTACGCCACGAAATTCACATTCTCTTCATCATCGTCATTCTTTGCATCACTATATTCTTCTGTCATGCGCTGGTACGCCTCTGCATGCTCGCTCTAAGCCCGTCGCGTTCGCGCAACTCGAGAGCACGCGCCGCCAACGGCCGGGACCCTGAAAGCTACGTGCCCCCGCGCCCGATCCGCGTGTACACGGGCTCGGAAGAGGAGCTCGGTGTGCGCGGCAGCCCGCACATCGGCATCAGCATCGACCCGGATGAGCCAGAGCTGCACCCGGACATCGATCCGGAGAAGGAGGCCGCGGTGGCGGTCAAGCCACCCCCGCCGGCATATGGGCTCTGGCGCGAGAGCGTTCGTGTCGACCCCAACCTCATGCATTGGCAGGCCGTCAACTGGTCCGAGAGGCCTCAGGATGCGGCCAACACCGCTACCGCTGCTCCCCACCGCCGCTCCGCGCCCGTTTTCTCGCCTACTGCGGGTCCTCCCGTCGCGACACCGCATCTGCACCCTGAGATGGTGGAAGGTAGCACGCGCCCGCCCAGCTATGTCAGCGACGACGGTGTGCGCTATGTGGGCGAGGCAGCGGTGCAGGCACGCCTGGGCGTACCACCCGCACAGTTCATGGCGACGATGTCGCCGCCGCGGCCACCTCCGCCGCCTCGCACGCCGGTTAACCAGATTGATCCCTCCACGCCTGTGCTGCAGTTCTCGCCCATGACGCCCGTGGCCCAGAGGGGCCCCGTCACGCCAGTAGCTCAGATGGGCCCGGTCACACCGGTGGCTCAAATAGGTCATGCCATGCCGATGCAGCACCAGTGGTCGCCGATGCCAGCGTCGGCGCTGTATTCGCCCATCCCGTCGGTGCAGTACTCGCCGATGCCGCCGACGCCGCCCGTCTTCTCGCCAATGCCGCCCGCGCAGTTCGCGGCGACCATGTCTCCGCGGCGGCCAGTGTTCCGGTCGGTGGTGCCGCGGGTGCCGCCGGTGATTGTGACGGAGGCGCCGCCGCAGCAGCAGCCGCAGATGATGGAGAGGTCGTCGGATAGCAGTTTTGTGACTGCGTCGGCGGGGGAGCACACGCCGAGTTTCATGGGCGACGTGCACCCGGGGTATCGGTGGATGGTGATGCCTGGGGGGAGGGGAGAGTATTCGTGAGGAACGGGGGCGGGCTTTTTGGTGCCTAGATGGTGAAATAATGATTACATAGACGACTGGCCTGGATGCCGTTGGTTGGATATACCCTCTGAGACGTCTGAGACGCGGTTAATAGAAACGACAATGAGATATGATCCAAGACTCTACGATACTTTCCATGTACGAGTGTATACTCTTCATCGACTTATAACTCGCTTGACGTCATTCGCAAGGGATTGCTTGTCACTGTTTGTGGTAAACGCATTCAGGGGGTTGATTATGATGAGTGCCTCTTCGTTTCGTCGGTTAAGCGTTGATGGGACTCATTCAGCAAGACATGCATAGGATCACCAGAACCTTTAGTGGCGGAGTAAAAGGGAGATATAGGTAGTCGTTTTACACTTGCTTCTAGCGTGTCGCTTGGAAGCTAGCGGCATCGAGACAGGAGTGGGGCCGTGGTCTTGCTACATACAATAGCAGGCAGTCTGACAAGGCTTGAGATTAATGGACAGTGAACCATGGCGGAAAGGAAAAAGCGGTGATGAGATAGTGGGTAGGATTCAGACGGATGCCCAGCTAATAGCATGACCGTACGGCGAAGGCTTCATTCGTGCCTCCTGGCCTCCTCCTCCCTTCGCGTAGGAACAAGCAAGGATGTTCGAGAGCAGCAGACGATGAATTGCCCGATTGGGTGCAACAGGCCCAAACAGGAAAGTCGACTCCAACGTCGGACGTAGCGAAGAGTTGCCTCAGCTCAATTGGCGCAAGCACAGGCGCTGAAGGCGGGCGCTGGTTCGCTATAGCCTGGCCCTGGCGGCTGATGAGCATGCATATCTCCGACGCGGATGGCGTGCTTTATGCAGAGAGGGCACTGGTGGACGGGGCAGGGGGGTGGAGTTAATCGAAACCAAACCAAAAATTTTGAGGATTCAATCAGTCTTCTTCAAGCCGAAGAGAAGAAAAAATGCTACCAACGAGAGATTACCGCTCTAACATTCTAGCCCACCATGGGTCCGAGATTATTGCCACGCCTTAAGAAAATGAACGTCAATCGTACCCGGCCATACCCAGTCGTAACCAGCTGTAACCAGCCGTACCTAACCTTACCCAAATTGTATGCAAAGCAAACGGCCCCAATCCCACCAAGCTCAATTTCCCAATATCATACTCTTTTCATGCTCTCGCAACTAATACCTGACATCCAGAGTCCAGCCAACCTTCAAGACTCTGGCGCCCAAAAACGAGCACCATGCGCACGCATACGTCGCGAACGTGAACACGACCATACCCCAGTACCTGCCGCCCGTGGCCTGCAGCAGGGCGCCAGCAATGGGGATGCCGGTCAAGGTGCCGAAGCTGACGACCGTGTAGCACGTGGCGTAGTAGCGGCCGTACGTCTGTGTGGTGCACAGCTGGCCGACGCACACGGGCGTCAGCGAGATGTTGGTGCCCGAGGCGAAGCCGAACAGCAGCGCGTACGCGATCGTCAACCCCTTGATCGCCGACTTGTTGTCCGAGTACTCGCCCAGTGGCGAGAGCAGCGCGTCTGGCAGCCAGAGCGCCACCGTCGTGAGGAAGCAGAACGTCAGTGTCACTACCATGCAGTTGAAGCGCCCGAGCCGGTCCGCTACGAAGCCCGGCGCCCATCGGCCCAGGCAGGACCCTGTGTTCAGGATCGCGATGAGTTGGTAGGAGAAGGTGTAGTCGATCGCTCCTGTGGACAGGGCGTACGAAGTGATGTATGTGATGGGGATGAAAAGTCCCCATTCCATGAAGAAGACTCCCGCCGTAGTCAGCGTGAATGGAATCTCCTTGAAGATGCGGAAATCCGGAATGACGCTCCCGCCCGGCTTGGGCGGCAGACGTGACCGGATGAGAAGCTGAGCCACGCAGCCAAGGAAGACGAAAATAAAACCGAGGATGCGCACTGCCCATCCCCAGCCAACTTTCGGAATTAAAGATTGCAGCATCAACGGGAATATGACGCCGCCGATAGACCCACCTCCCGAAGCAAGGCCAGTTGCGGCGGCACGCTTCACCTGGAAGAAGTGGCCAATGCTGGAGATGGCAGGTGTGAAGACCAGGGAGGAGCCCACGCCTCCAAGAACGCCAAATGTGAGCAGGAATTGGTAGTATTCCTTGCAAACACTCAAAAAGAAAATCGAAGCGATAAGACAGATATTGCCGGCAAGAATAAGCATCCTTGGTCCATACTGATCGAATATAGGACCAATCTGAATGCCGCAAAAGAAGGCCAGGAAGGTGTAGATGGAAAAGATCCAACCAACAGTGCTGTCATCATAGTGAGACAGCTGGTTGGTGCTGATGTAGGCTTGGAAGATGCCAATGGAATTCCTGATCATCAGTTAGCACTTACTTAGCCGAACCTCGCCACCACGATACTTACATCATACCAAAAGCAGCCGTCATTCCGGTAAAAGCACCCAAGACGACTCCCCATGCCTTCCAGCCACCTTCGGGGTAGGTGAAGCCATCACCGGGAAGCGTGTCTGAAGAGGAAGACTCAGAGGAGCGCGGGGCTTCCTTATCAGCGGGGTGCTGTGGCTTGACATTGCCATCCTCCGTAGTAGTCCAGTCTTTATCCGCCAAAGTTTGCTCTGAAGGATCGCATGGCGGCAAGCTAGGCTTCTCAGCTACCGCAGGTGGGTGCTCAGTGTGCGAAGTGCGCGAGGTGACGCTGGTGATTCCATGGAATGGCGGTTCTGTTGATTCGATTGATCCTGGCGTGCTGCCTTTGCGTTGATGGGTTGGCATATGCTCGTCGTCGTTACCGCGAATCCTTGCTCTTCTTCTGGGGTGTGTATCTTCCGTAGTACTCAACGCTTTCAACTCGCAACTGAGGGTTGATGTCTGCCGTGACGGAGCATGTGTGGAAGACGAAGAAATTTGAAGAAAGAGAAGGGGAAATTTTGAAGACCATGTGGGGGTTTATGTTTCTCACCCAACAGCGCGAACCCGGACGATGAATAATGCGATACCTGTTTAGGCAGTCCTATGCACCAATATTGGAACTAGAAGCGACTGGACTCGATAGTGGAAGCCGCTTGCTGCGCCGTGCCGCTCCCGCAATCGGTCTTTGGGTTATCTCGTAACGGTGACGCCCCCAAGCACCCAACATCCGCTGGAGATGCATTTCTGGCGCGTTCGATAATGACTCACCTGCTGCGACAGATCGTAATACCGGGCCGAAATCGTGCCATTAAGAGATGCAGGAGATCCGACCAGGGAGTGACCTTGACCGACTTGCCCCAATCAACAATGGACGTGGCAACCCGGCAACGTGTGTCGCCGACGGCCGCCGTTTGCACCGCGGACCACTCCCTGTCACCTCGTAACCATCACCGAACGACCACGCCATGAAAATCGGGAGAAAGGGATGTTAATGGACTCGACTACTACTTTTGTCAACTGGAAGAGCTCGCTCATGATTCTTGTCCAACCTCCCTTTTTTTCGACGGACCGATGCAACTCCCCTGTTGTGGCCTCCTGTGCTTTCAAAACATCTTACAGAAGATTGAAATCTTGGTTGTATCCAAGGAACTCCTGCAAACGGTTCCTCAGATGCTCCTCGTCCTCTGGCCGCAGGCCGTTCTTGCCAATCTCTCGGCACATATCACTTCTAATCACCCCCGGTAGTACATGCGGTATCATCCTGTCGAGAAGGCCCTTCATCATCTCTTCTTGTGCCAAGGAGATGAGGATTGCATAGTAGAGGTGTGATTTGTGGGTGTACTTGTGGCTGCTGGAATCATCATCATCTACGCGACAAGCTTGGGAGAGATATCGAGCATAATCGCCGCGGTATCGGTCCATCGTCAGTCCGTCGTAGCTGCACAATCTAGGCCAGGCGAGACCTTGGATCCAGTCCTTGGCCAGGTAATCTGGGAAGCGCGCCCATCCCAGAAACCCCGCCAGTGTGACAGGACGATCCCAACCCAAGATGCCTGTGATGTTGCCGCAATCGTCAGCCAGAATGTTCTGCCAGCCGAAGTCAGGTGGTGCAAGGAAAAAGGTTTCACCAGCCCCCCCTTTGTTCTCTGTCCACGGAAATTCTTCCAGCATGATGCTAAAGATCCGATAGAGACCTTCCACTTCGATGAAGCTTTCTGACCCTACCCCGAAATATGCGGCGGCGTATTCCCTGGCGCTTTGCAGGAATCTCTGAAAGTACAACTTCGAACAATCTTCTACGTCCTGAAAATGCGCCTCCGGCACAAAATCTTCATCACGGCCTTTTCCAAAGTTCGCGTTGTAGGTCGGGCCCACGTAAGGATGCTCTTCGTCGTCAGGAGGGAAACAGATGGCACCCAGCTTGTCAAATCGTAAAGAGCGAAACTCTGCCGCACTTGATGCAAGAGTTCTTAATATGTTCTGACGCCTTGTCTCTAGAGAAACTTTACCGCTGTCATCATCCCAGGCTTTCTCGAGTGGTTTGCCCTCCATGAATTCCATGGCGATATACGGCGCGTTGATGGCGTTGTTAAAAGAAATATCGTACGCGAACATGCTTGGCACCGGCAGTCGGGTGTGCTTCTTGACATAGCGCATGGTAAGTGCAACGTTACGCAGGGCCGCGGCGTCAGCAGCGGTCCACCGGCTTCCCCAGCCGCAAGCAGGGATGCGTATGCATATCTTGAGCCCCTGTCCGTATTGTAGGATGTAAACTGCGTTGTTTTGTCCCTTCGTCTTGCCGATAACTGTGATCTCATCGTCATCTGCTCCAGGAATGAGATTAAGAGCTAGGATGATCAGTCCGGCATCCGGAATGTCCAGTACTGGACCCCAGTTTCCGTATTTTGCCGGTTGTGAATGAGCACTCCGTAGATGTTCTTCGACATCGGAATCTGAAACGGTTGGTTTTAGCTGCTTGGGTTTCTTGAGCTTCAACGTGCTGAACAGGCGACGGATCTTAGTTTGGACTTTCTGCCCTTGCTGTTCAGGTGGCGCGTTGAGCTGGTCCATGGCAAGCTGAGGCGGCGACAGGTGCGCTTCGCAGGGGTGAGAGGCTGACAGGCTCTGTATTTTGGGTGGGTTGATAACTCTTATGGTAAACGTGATGTAGAGAAGGTTTCATTGCTCGTAGGTGAGTTTAAATACCCTCACTCCGATAGCCGTTGGCAGGTGCGGCTCCACCGCAAGTGGACATTGAAGTGAAAACGTTGACTGGAGTGCGGCGACTGAAGAGCGGCGAACGGGTTCTGAAATAATTTGGGAAGGTGGCTGCCAAGACAACGTGATTGCCTCTTTCACTTTCACATCTCCTAATTGCCATGCCAGATCAAACCAATACCTTATTCTATCCGTGCGGCTTCTGCTAAGCAATCATTACGCAATAAAGTGATCTTGAGCTTGTCGGTGTACAAAGATGTTAGCGGTAGGTAGTTATGAACATTTTGCGCCACGTGGTTGCTGTGCACTTATTAAAGACGGCAGACACTTAATCAGCACTGATACTCCTACTGGAAAGTGCGCAACTATGTTACTGTTGAAAAGCGGAGGCTTCCTACCGCGGGCGAGTCTGAATGAAGAGGTCCCATAATCACTGCAACGTTAATCAACCCTTGGTGACGCTCGATTTATGAGCGTATGATGGCTCAATGAAGCTTACCTCGGCGAGGCCTAGGCTAGGTAGCAAAATGCCCATTAAACGTATAAAGCGGATTTGTATGCCAAACAAAGCCAAGCACCTGTGGACACTAGCGCTACTACCCACCATCACCGTCACAACATAGCAGCGATCCTCAAGCCAGATAGCCAGCTCCGAAGGCCCGAGAACGAATCGAGCGCATGCAAGATTCAGATCAAATCATAGAAACTGTAGACGGTAATAAGGGGGGCCTATGTGCCCGCAGTCATGATGGGCGAGTTTCACGAAGACACCTACCTCTTAGAAAGGAACATCTCTTGTTGATAGATAGCCTAGCTTTTGTCTTATAACTCTGAGCCCAACCAAGGGACCGCCTTGGATTTGGTTGGTATCACTGATCCCGCGATCGGTGTATTACCCACGATGCACGACTTTGTCGGAATCAGTGTCGTCATCGGATCGCGAATCACCACTACCACTTGCCAGCACAAACACTTCACATAAGCATGTGAAAACAAAACGAAGACCAAAAATAAAAAATAAAACAAAACGAACAAAAA